TCCATTTTTTTTATTGGGATAACCGTTAAGTAGAATATCAAAGGGTATTTTTGGTAGTCAATTATTATGTGAATACTTCTGGGAAAAAGGGAATGAAAAGTTATTATAGATTTACAGAATTTAAGTAAGTTCTTTAAAAATGAAATAAACAAGTCTTTTACATGATCTTCATATTTTGGGAGGGATGTACGTTAATGTTAGCTTCCTGATGTAGTAATAATATCATTGCCTTTTTCTTTTAAAACATTTTAAGAAATTTCCCATTTTCAAATCCTTCCTGATAATTTATAACTTGTATGTTTCTTTTAGGCACATGCAAAAATTTAGCTTCCTTCAATCATTCCCGGTAAGAACATGATGAAAACAAAACAGATGGGAAAAAACCATATGATTTCCCAAATAACAAAAAATTGAACTGAACTTTTTGTAAGCTAGGTTTTATTAATGAGGAAGTTTAAAAATACACGGATTCCTAAAAGCGGCGTGTCGGCCTTCAAATCTAAAATATGCACATGATTAGAATATTCACCAAACAATACATAGAATAATTTTTATACTTAAAGTGAATTGTGGTTTTTAAAAAAAATATAATTTGTTTCCGTGTAAAGTTAAAGTTAATGCATGAAGTTTTTATCGCTGTGACTGTTTTTAAGTTTTTCGTACATTAAAAGGTTTTTTAATTTGTTTACCTTCGTATTGTTTTGTGCAAAATGTAAATATTGTCCTTAAATTGTATTTTTTAATTTAGCTAAATCCCGGTTTGCAACCAAAAGGCCATTAGAGATTGTTTACAGTAAAATAATAAAAATACGTTGTAAGTAAGAATAGCAAACCATTTGACATAATTAAACAGGGGAGGAAATTAGAATTGCATTTCAGGACAATGTTTAATGTCACGTTTTATCACCATCAAAGAGGAGTTTTGTTTTAATCAGGTTTAAAGAAACATAATGCCTGCACAGTGTACTATCAATGGATATATTAAGCAGATAACAATCAGTCTCCAAACACTTCAGAAATTTAGAATTCAATGGATGAAAATATAAGAGATAAAAGACCTTGCAGTCGTCAGTATGATGATATGATAAATATGAATACGATATTGATTATTATGCTTATATGCATGTTTTTGTTGTTGTTGACGATGGCAATGTGGTAGTGATGTTAATGATGAAATGATGATTACAACGATAATACTGGAAAATGTTTCCTTAATATCCAATGTAATGATGTCTGTATATTGTACCATCAAGAGATAGATGAAACAAATACAGAAAGATGAAAAATATTGCGAATTTTCACGAATAGGAATTAAATTGACGATGATTATGATAATGATGAAGGTGATGATGATGCTTCAAATGATGATGATGACGGAGAAAATGATGATAATACTTAGAAGTGTTTCTTCCTCTAAGATGAAAATATGTATTTTGGTGATGACATTGATTTTTTTAACATTGATTTGGATGTTTTTGTTGTTGTTGATGACGATAATAATGATAATGAAATCTTTAATAATGATGAAAAAATGATAAAAATTTACGTATTAGTTACCCGAGCACCAGTGCATGGCCATCGATTGGTTCTTTTTTTCTGAGGACTACTTATTGTGACGACATAGAAAGGGAAAGCAAAAGAAATATCGTATTCAGATCCTCGTTCATTGGTACATTTTTAGGGGTGTCATATTGCGGCAACAGGGAACGTATTTTTGACTATGATACAAAAGATTATGAACATCAAAACACACGGTAATCGGCACAAATCAGATAGCGTCATATTTCGATGCTCTTTCTTTTACATATACAGAAGAGCATGTGATGCAGTTGATATGTTGTATAGACTTTAGATGTGTTACTTGAAGTATCCTAGTTATGTCAAACATTTCCCGCACAAAGCAAGTGAGAGCAAGTGTGTTGACAAGCGTTTCTCCAGTAACCGTGTTTGCATTTGTCACAACTTGTACTTGAAGAGCACGTGACACAGTTGTCAGGACAGGGTAATAACAATATGTCCCATGTAGCCCAGAAGAACGTGCAGTTGATACCATCAAAGTTTGGTTAACATTTCTCTTTATAACATGTTCCATTCGTTCTAATACATTTGTCCAAATAAAAACCTTTTGAGAAATTAAATTCACACACATCGCCAAAAAACAAAACAAAACAAAAAAAAAACACTCACATTCTGTACATTTTGTTTCCGAAATACACCTGTTACAATTCTGCGGAAAATCCATGACACAATCAGTGTATTTACCTTTTGCTCAACTATCACAAAGACGGCCTTCATAATTGTCTCTGCATGAGCAAGCTCCGGGTGTTTTGCCACATGTTGAATTAAGACATCCTTCGCTAAAATCCTGTCTGCAGGCCGTTCCGTAACGACTTAGGTTGGTGCAAGCAATACAGTGCACGGCCCAATGACTATAACATCGAGTACATCCTGGCGGACATTTTTTACAGCGCTCTATTTCTATAAGAATAAAACTTGAACAGTGGACGTCTCCCCCGCCGCAGGTTAGACATCCATAAGGGCAATCCATTTCTTGAACTAAAATGCAGAAATAAAATTTGCTGTTATTTCATATTTCATTTTACGTACAGAAATATTTTGTTTTATTTCTTTTATATATGGTTGACATGATCATATTTCCTATTGTTGCCTTATAGCGTCCAACAAAAAGAAGCGAACAAAAGAACTATTCAATGACATTAAAATTTTGTGAACACTATATTATCAATGAAACTAAATCAAGGGAACTAAATCATTACCATAGTAGAAAGAGTGGTTCAAACGGAGTAAATGATTTGAAAAAGAAATTTAATAGTTAAATACGTCGATCATGTAACTTAAAATTTTGTTTAGCCCTTATATACTTATGATAAAGCAAAGGGAACTAACTATATATGTATATTTGAGTTTGCAAATGTCTTCAAATCAGATATGGGATAACATGATCCCTTTGGTTTTAGTTTTTTGTTAGTGATTTCTTTATTGTATACTAGCATTTTCCTGGGTATGAAATAAATAATAAGAAAAATTACTCTCGACGACAGTCGTTCAGTTTAAAATATCACAATATTTTAATAAGAGACAAAGATATAATAGTTTGTTTTTTTTTTATGATGATTTATGACCTTCTATAATTTCGAACGCGGTTTTGAAAGACTTAATAGATTTTGTTGTCCGTACGAATCCTGCGGTAATATTCATTACGTTCAAAAGCAATAATAGTATAATCCAAACCATATCGTCTCTTAAAATGTTTTGAATGAAAGACTGTTGTTCGGATCTTAAAATGAAAATTATTACTTTTTATTTCTAAATATAGGAAATATCGAAATAAATGTGTGAACTTTGTAATATATTAACCCGCCAACATTCGTTTCTCATTCTTAACTAGACATTCAAAGAACAAGGAAAATTCACAAACGGGAAATTCACAAAGTTATTTTAAAGCATGTATTTATAGGAGATCACTGTCCAAAGCCCATGACTCTAACATGCATTTTGACAGAATTATGGCCTTTTTTGAATTAATAAAATTACTATATTATTCAGGCTTTTGTTTTATTATTAGTCACTGAGAATAGTCGAGCAAATTTTTATAACAACAACATTTGCCATAATTATTTTTAAGTTTGAATATCGGTAAGCTAAACATTTGAGCTCACAATTCCGTAGAATAATGTATATACACGAACAAATATCATCAACAATGTAACACAAGAAAGAATAGATATCCAGATCTTAACATGTATAAGTTTGTAATAAGAACGACTCTTCTGCGAAATTTTAAAAAGTACAGTCACTTTTTGTGGAATCTATAACACGACCGAGAGCAAATGCTTATTTCTTGGTGGAAATCATCACAACACTTACAGCCAATACATATATTGATTGAAAACCAATGCAAAACAAGGAACCGGAATGTGCTTTACTTTTTCTTGAGATTCATCTGACCTGATCACTGTTTTTGAGATGATTTATATAATAAACCTGAAAATAAATCAAGGCAGTTTCAAAACAAAGTCTGTTCAAAACATTGGCTTATATCAACACTATTTTCACAAATTGTGTTTATGAAACGTATAAGGCGTATCTTGGATTTATTTAGCATAAGAAAATGATTTATGTTTAAAGTACATTGGTCTTCAGTTGTCGCAATTTCTATTAGTATTTGAAATATAAATAAAAGCAATATAAATATATCATTGGATATTTTCATAAACTATATCTAGATAATAGAAATAGTGATAAAATTCTAACTGATTTAGTAGGAACATATATATGATGAATAATATAATTTTTCTTTAACATTTTATTAATTGTTAAAATAGACGTTTTCTTGGATCATACATTGGACACTTTCCAACAATATCCAGAAAAAATTCACGCGTTTTATTGTCTAAACACTATTAGTTTACACAACAGCAACAACTGAGTTATTGAGACACACTAAAATAAAGCATTTTGACGCCATTTCGATAACCAAGTAAACCACAAATGCACATGGCGACAATCAACATATCTTTGATGATTTATTATTACTTGTTATGAAACTGACTGACAAATCGAATAAATTTCCTTCACACCATTCTTTTGTCAAAATGAATAATTTAAGAAACATTTCTATGAATGGTGTTATCGCATGTTTATCTTTGTGGATTGTTTTTAAAAATACACAAAATGAACAGAAGATTCATCATTTCTGTTATTCAAAACATTTCGTACACATTGCCAACAAAGAGTAAATAATGTATGTAATGTATTGCTCTTACCTGAACAATGTAATGACCATAATTACAACTGTATATTTTAAAGAATGTCCTGTAAGTTTCATTGCAGGTGAGCCATTTCCTACATTAAAACAAATAATTGTAAAAAAAATACATGTACGTAAACACTGAACATTATGTAAACAAACTATGATATTTTGTTTAAATTATACGCTATTGTGACTTCGGTCAGTCGTACAATTATTATATAGATGAATAAAATAGATACATCAAAACTTATTGATAAAACGCTGTTAGACAAACAAATAAAAAAGGGTTAAATCACGAAAATTCCGATGAAGTCAACTCGTGTTTTCTGCAAAAAGAGGAATAAAAGTAACATAGACTGATATAATTTATATACAGTTAAGTAAAATGTTTCAATAAGTTTTTCTCATTACCATTTAATGTTTTAGTCATATTGCAGTACATTCCGTGCTTCCCTAAAACGCAAACGTCACACTTTTCTCCAATAAAACCTGTTCTACATTTGTCATACATGCAGACACCTGTCTTTTTAAAGCAACTGCTTTTGTAGCATCCAATGGAACAATTGTGTTGGCAGGCAATTCCCCAGTAACCATGCTGACAATCATAACAACTTGTATTCCCAGAGCATGCGACACAGTTGTCAGGGCAGGGTAATTGACAATATGATCCATGAAACCCGGGGGAGCAAAATGTACAATTGATACTATCAAAATTTGGGTTACATTTCTCCTGATAACAAGTCCCATCAATTTGGCTACAGCTCCTTAAATAGCAACCTCTTGAACAATTGAATTCACACGCGTCGCCAAAGAAACCGTCTTTGCATTCTGTACATTTGTCGTAAGAAGTACACGTCTTACAATTTTGTGGACAGCCTTTCACGCAATCAGAGTCAATATCATATTTTCCTTTGGCGCAATAATCACAATGACCCCCTTCATAATTGTCTCTACACAAGCATGTTCCAGATGAATGTTCACATGTTGAGTTTAGGCATCCTTTACTACACACATCTTGGCAGTTTTGCCCATATCGCCCCTCTAGGTAACACTTAGTACAAGACCTGTAATGATTGCACTCTGAACACGCATTTGGACATGCTCTACATGTATAATAAGCCCCTCCTCTTGCCAAATAGTATCCCTTCGGACAAGATGCACAATTGAATGGGTATGCATAGCAAGTTAGACAGTTGTGCGATTTGTGGCATTCATCCAACACCTGCGCTGTATAAAATATTAGAACCGTTATCAAACAAAATTCATATCTTCTTGCGGTGCAATATGTAAACTAATGTCAAGAAATTACAAGCACAGTGTAATTATGTAATACATAAATGGTCGGTAAAAGTTCATACGGCGGAAAATTAAAAGTTACTGGTTAAAGTAGTATAATCATTTTACGTTTAACCTTTTCCCTCATATAAGCGTGTCTCGACGGCTTTTTGCCCCCCCCCCCCTTTTTGAGGCCTCAAACAGTGAAAAAATGCCCTATTTAGGCCCCAAACACTGGTTTTCGTTTGAGAAATGTTGTTAAAAAAGTGAACACTTTTTCGGCGCCGTCCCCCATCCAAATGTTACATCAGGGGGTTGCCAGAAGGGGCATGTGCCAAGAAAATTTTGGAAATGTGACAGGCTAAAAATGGCCTCAGGTCGATCTTAGGGTAACTAGTAACCAACGCTGAAAAGCCTTTTACTCTATCTCAATTCATTGAGAAGTTGCAGCACTTTGAAATCAGTTTTAATGGAAAAAAAACAATGCAAAATAGTGATTTTTGGCAATTTTGAGACGTCCCCCGTTGCCATGGTAACAGGAAATTTACGATTGAGCATGCTGTTACAGAGGCTATGGTGTAGTCAACATTTGTGCCAAGTTTCATCAGTATTGAAGCATTTTTCATAGTTTCATAGCAGTTTGAACTTGTTACAGGAGGCTTTTCAATGAAAACGGCCATTTTTCGCAATATGCTCATGGGGTAAAAGGTTAATTAAAAAAATAAAAAATGTCAAAAAACAACAATTTTTCACCAAAATTCAGTGTTAGGGCACGTGTTAACATGGAAAATCTAGTTTTTGGGTAATTCCAAGGTTTTTCATCATTTTTTGTTAATTAAAAAAATAAAAAATGTCAAAAAACAACAATTTTTCACCAAAATTCAGTGTTAGGGCACGTGTTAACATGGAAAATCTAGTTTTTGGGTAATTCCAAGGTTTTTCATCATATTTTGTTAACCTTTTCCCTCATATAAGCGTGTTTCGACGGCTTTTTGCCCCCCCCCCCTTTTTGAGGCCTCAAACAGTGAAAAAATGCCCTATTTAGGCCCCAAACACTGGTTTTCGTTTGAGAAATGTTGTTAAAAAAGTGACCACTTTTTCGGCGCCGTCCCCCATCCAAATGTTACATCAGGGGGTTGCCAGAAGGGGGATGTGCCCCCTTCTGTTTGGGGGGTTTGAAGGGGGGCGGAGTCCCCCTCATCGCCAAGAAAATTTTGGACATGTGACAGGCTAAAAAAGGCCTCAGGTCGATCTTAGGGTAACTAGTAACCAACGCTGAAAAGCCTTTTACTCTATCTCAATTCATTGAGAACTTGCAGCACTTTGAAATCAGTTTTGATGGAAAAAAACAATGCAAAATAGTGATTTTTGGCAATTTTGAGACGTCCTCCGTTGCCATGGTAACAGGAAATTTACGATTGAGCATGCTGTTACAGAGGCTATGGTGTAGTCAACATTTGTGCCAAGTTTCATCAGTATTGAAGCATTTTTCATAGTTTCATAGCAGTTTGAACTTGTTACAGGAGGCTTTTCAATGAAAACGGCCATTTTTCGCAATACGCTCATGGGGGAAAAGGTTAAATAACAACATCTGTTCCTTGATCAAATACAAACAGTAAAGAAGCTGTTTTCTATCAAAACAGTCATGTTATGTAATTGACATTGCACAAAATGTATTCGCAATTTTGTATGTGGAATAATTATAATGTATCCAAAACGATACAATTGACAAGCTCGAGGTTTCGTTTATTGTAAGACTGAAAAAACAAATAGCATTTATCTGAACAGTCGTTATTGAAACACGCTATCATGAGGAATAAGGATTAAAATTACAATTTTGGTAATAATTCTTAACAACATGCATATACTTTCTGCTTACCTTCTATCAGTCCAAATATAAAGCTAAAAACAAACAGAAAAACAAACACCATCCTGATTATCCAAGGCGAAACTATTGATTTAACTTCTTGTTACCTTACAATGGTTTACAAATTTGTTGAATTATAAAACACTACAGTTACGTGATCAACGGAACGTCGTCAATCAAATCTAACTATTGCGCAAGATGGAGTATTCGCCGCGTTGTGGATGGTTTAATACTTTAATGTTGTGTGGTTTTTAAAAAAATATATTTGTTTACGTTGCGCGGCCTTGATAATTTGAAGCTTTTTTTTAGGTTTTTTTTTAGTATCGTAAAGGTAAACACTTCTTGTAAAAATCCTGTTCTTATACAGTTTTATATTTTATCAAATTTATATTTGATTAAGCTAAACCATGACTGCTCGACAGCCATTGAATTACATTGATTATGAATATTTAAATTTGAACGGTTACGAAATTTATCAAGCGATTTTCAGGAATGGAGTCAACGTCGCATTTGTTTGTTGATCTTTATTCTTTTTTTTCTTTGGCCCATAAATAGGGGAGGTAGTGAAAATCATAAAAGTATTTCCGAACAATGCAGTACGATGAAATTATAAAACTACTAAACTTGATGATAATAGATGACGTTGTTATGATGATGATGATAATTATAATGATTTGCATACCAAATGGTTTTAGGTTTTGAAAATAGTTTTTTTAACGTGATGACAACACAAGTTAATTTGTTGGTGATATACCTGCTATTTTCTTAAAAATAATGTCGGTGTAATTTTTACAGTTTCCATGAATTTTTTTATCTTCCAATTCTTAACTAAATTCTGTACACTTCTGCCGATTCCCTGTCTGCGACGTGCACGTTCCAAGGGAATGAGACCCTTTCATATAAAGCTCTCCGTCGGGTATTATGTAACTTTGTACATTAACAAATCTTTTTTAAAATTTTGTTTTGAAAGTTGCATGCTATCCCACGCTCTTTCCTTATTAAACGATTTTTAACTTAATCATACAAACAGCTACAATTTAAATAATAAGCGTCTACTACAAATAATTGTTGGAAAAATGTATGCATATGCCATCGTATTTATTTTGATGAAATGAATGTTATTCTACTAGCATGAAATATTTTGCATGCGATCATTATCTTTTGAATCGTGATTTCTATCTTGCATCACGGGATTTTTTATGCAAATGGTGACCCCCACATTAAAAGGAAATAACTACAATCTAAAATGATAATATCTTTACTCAAATCTGGTTATTGTATAAATTTATGGCTTATTCATGGAATATTTATTGTGGTCTTCAATTATCTAGCTAAATTGTTAATATTTCATCATGCAATAATACATACATATATTTTTTTTCAATTTATTTTGTTTTTAACAAATTTTTGGTTAGTCATACTTGTCACAAGTTCTACAATTAGAAAAGATGCATGGTAAACATAAGTATCAGTGCAACGTTTGGTTCCTGTCTGTTGTATAGGTTTTAAGATTAGTTACTTCGAGTATTCTAGTTTTATCAAACGTTTCCAACACAAAACCAGTGAGAACAAGTGTGTTCACAAGCGTTTCCCCAGTAACCGTGATTGCATTTATCACAACTTGTACTTGAGGTGCACGTGATAAAGTTGTCAGGACAAGGTAACGTACAGGATGTCCCATAAAGCCCAGAAGAACATTTTGTGCAGTTGGTACCATCAAAATGTGGTTTGCGTTTCTTCTGATAGCATGCATGTTCCATTCTGTTTGTTACAATTGCCTAAATAACAACCTCTGGCACAATTGAATTCACACACATCGCCAAAAAAGCCACTCTTGCATTCTGTACAGTTTGTTTCCGAAATACACCTCTTACAATTCTGTGGACAATCCATCATACAATCAGAGTCCATTCCGTATTTTCCTTTGGTGCAACTATCACAACGACGGCCTTCATAGTTGTCTCTACATGAGCAAGTTCCGTAAGTTTTGTCACATGTTGAATTAAGGCATCCTTTGCTACAGTCTTGTCTGCAGTCCGTTCCGTAACGACTTTGGTTAGTGCAAGCAATACAGTGCACGGCCCAATGACCATAACATTGTGTACATCTTGGCGGACATATTTTACATTGAAGGTATGCTCCGTTTCTATAAGAATAATATCTGTTCTTGCATTTTGGACAGTGGACGCCTCCCCCGCCGCAGGTTAGACATCCATAAGGGCAATCCATTTCTTGAACTAAAATGCAGAAACAAAGTTTGCTGTAATCCAATCTTTCACTTTACGTTAACTTACAGAATTTTTTATTTAATTCCTCTTATATTTGGTTGAAAAGATCATATTTCCTATTGATACCCTATAGGCGTCCCACAAAAAGAAGCGAACAAAACAACTATAAAATGACATTAACGATATAGTATCTATGAAACTAAATCAAGGGAACTAAATTGTGCACACGTGTATTCATTACTATAGAAAAAAGAGTGGTGAAAACGGAGTGAATGATTTGAAGTAAAATGTCGACCATCTAACTGAAAAATTGTGTTTTGCCCTGATATACTTCGATACAGCAAAGGGAACTAACTATCTGATGTATATTTGAGTTTGGTAATGCCCTCAGATCAGAGATGGGATAACATTGCCCGTTTAGTTTTTATATAAGTTATTTCTTTATTGTATACTACTTGGTTTAATAGGACTGTACAACGTAATTTTATGATGTCTTCTAAAGCGGTTTAAAGACTTATGATGTGTCTGTACGATAGCTATTTCATGCTACGGCCATATTCATTACATGCAAAAGCAATTATAGCATTATCCAAACCACACTGTCTCTTATAATGTTTTGTATGAAATACTGTTTTCCGGATCTTATAATGAAAACGACATAATATGAAGATTTTGTTAAGGTAACAGTGGTCACATTTTATATCTGAATATAGAAAATATCGATATATGTGTGAACTTTATATTATATCAACCTACCAACATTTGTTTCTTTCCTTACAAGGTTATTCAAAGAATAAAGAGAGCTATTTCACTTGCCAAGGCGTCCGTGTCAAAATTCGGTTAAGAATGTTGCGGCAAGTTGTTATTCCCAAAACTACAGTAGGGAATGCTTCTTAAATTTATTAAAGTTATTTTAAAGCATACATGTATAGGAGATCACTGTCCAAAGCCAATGACTTTAACATGCATTTTGACAGAATTAAGGCCCATTTTGAACAAATAAAATTACAATATTATTCAGGCTCTTGTTTTACTATCAAGTACTCAGAATAATCGGGCACACAGTTCTAACAACAGCTCTTGTAATAACTGTTTCTAAGTTCGAATATTGGTGAGCTTAACATTTGAGCTTACAATTACGTAGAAAAATGTGTATACACTAATAAATATCATCAACAATGTAACACAAGATAGAATAGATGTCCATAACTCAACATGTGTAAGTTTGTAATAAGAACGACACTTCTGCAAAAATTTCAAAAAGTACAGTCACTTTAGTGGGATCTATATAACACGACCGGGAGTAAATGCTTATTTCTTGGCGGAAAATCATCACAACACATACAGCCAATACATATATTTATTGAAAACCAATGCAAAACATGGAACTGGAATGTGCTTTACTTTTTCTTGAGCTCCATCATCTGACATCATCACTGTTTTGAGATGATTTACACAATTAACCTGAAAATAAATCAAGGCAATTTCAAATCAAAGCATTGGCTTATATCAACACTGTTTTCATAAATTGTGTTTATAAAACGTATAAGGTGTATATTGGATTTATTTAGCATGAGGAAATGATTTATGTTTATAGTACATTGGTCTACAATTTCCATAATTTCTAAAAGTATTTGAAATATAGATAAAAGCAATAGAAATGTATCATTGGATATTTTCGTAAACTATAGCCAGATAATAGAAATAGTGATAAAACTCTAAGTGATTTAGTAGGAACATATATATGATGAATAATATTATTTTTCTTGAACATTTTATTAATTGTTAAAATAGACGTTTTATTGGATCATACATTGGGCACTTGCCAACAATATCCAGAAAAAAAAATCGCGTTTTATTGTCTAAACACTATTAGTTTACACAGCAAGAAAAACAGAGTTATTGAGACACCATTTTACTGTCTTAAAGAATAAAACTAGAATAAAACATTTTGAAGCCATTTCGATAACCAGGTAAACCACAAATGCACATGGCGACAATCAACATATGGGCATATCTTTGATGATTTATTACTACTTGTAATAAAACTGACTGACAAATCGGATAAATTTCCTTCACACCATTCTTTTGTCAAAATGAATAATTTAAGCAACATTTCTATGAATGGTGTTATCGCATTTTTATCGTTGTGGATTTTTTTTAAAAATACACAAAATGAAGATTCATCATTTCTATTATTCAAAACATTTCGTACACATTGCCAACAAAGAGCAAATAATGAATGTAATATACTGCTCTTACCTGAACAATGTAATGACCATAATTACAACTGTATATTTTGAAGAATGTCCTGTAAGCTTCATTGCAGATGAACCATTTCCTACATTAAAACAAATGATTATAAAATCAAATTACATGTACTTAAACACTGAACATTATGTAAGCAAACAATAATATTTTGTATAAAAAAATAAGCTTTTGTGACTTCGGTCCGTCGTACCATTATTTAATAGATAAATAAATAAAGATACATTAAAACTTAACACTGTTAGACAAACAAATATAAAAAAAGTGTTAAATCATGAAAATTCCGATGAAGTCAACTCGTTTTTCAGCAAAAAAAAATGGGTAAGGAATAAAGGCAATCAACATTGGTATACTTTATATCCAGAAAAATAAAGAGATTCAATAAGTTTTGTCATTACCATTCAATGTTTCAGTCATATTGCAGTAATTTCCGTGCTTCCCTAAAACGCAAATATCACACTTTTCTCCAATAAAACCTGTTTTACATTTGCTATACATGCAAACACCTGTCTTTTTCAAGCAACTGCTTTTGTAGCATCCAATGGAACAATTGAGTTGGCAATCAGTTCCCCAGTAACCATGCTGACAATAATCACAACTTGTATTTCCGGAGCATGCGACACAGTTGTTTGGGCAGGGTAATTGACAATATGATCCATGAAGCCCGGGGGAGCAAGTTGTACAATTGATACCATCAAAATTCGGGTTGCATTTCTTCTGATAACAAGTCCCATCCATTTGGCTACATCTCCCTAAATAGCAACCTCTTGAACAATTGAATTCACACACGTCGCCAAAGAAACCGTCTTTGCATTCTGTACATTTGTCGTACGAAGTACACGTCTTACAATTTTGCGGACAATCCTTCACGCAATCCGAGTCAATATCATATTTTCCTTTGGCGCAATAATCACAATGACCACCTTCGTAATTGTCTCTACACAAGCATGTTCCGGACGAATGCTCACATGTTGAGTTGAGACATCCTTTACTACACACATCTTGACAGCTTTGCCCATAACGCCCCTCGAGGTAACACTTAGTACAAAACATATAATGTTTGCATTCTGAGCACGCAATTGGACAAGCTCTACAAGTATAATAAGCCCCTCCTCTTGCCAAATAGTATCTCTTCGGACATGATGCTGTATAAAATGTAATAACCGATATCAAACGAAATGTTTATCTTTTCGCGGTGCAGTAAGTGAATTAATGTCAAAAAAATACTAGCACAGTGTAAATATTGTAATAAATGAATGTTCGGTAAAAATTAATACTAATGGAAATTTGATAAAAAATGTTAGATTATTTTGTTGGAGGTGAATGACAAAACAAACGAATAAATTTACTTGAAATTCTACAGGCAAGGTCAGATTGTTTTAAAGAATTTAAAGAATATCCTTTACGCCAATTATTCTCACTCTATGCTGGGATATTCATTTCTTTTCTACATTAATTTAAGAGCTTTTTGTCGTAAGAGGGATTACTTTTATCATAAATACATGTTAACTCTTGATTATGCAGGGCAGGGAAAGACAAACATACATTATCTCTAGGATAAAAGAAACAAATGCTTTAACATTTTACAATTGTTGAAAACATGTTTTTGTAAGATTTATCGTTAAATGTTATTGGTTGAATAAGTACAATCATTTTACGTTTAAAGATCCTGTAACACAATTTTTTCATGTTTTTTTCCATAAATATGATGCTCAAATTAAGATTTGTCAATATTGTAAGTTCCAATAAGCATCATTTATAAAGATATTACCCAATTTAACAATTCATGTAAATAAAGGGAGGTAATGAAAATTTATTTTCTATAAATTCTAAGTCAAATTTTCCAAAAAGAAATGAATGCATGTAATTCATTGATTAAATATAATGTTCACAAATATTTGCAGTCCACATCTTACATGTTCTTGGATGTTTGAAAATTGTTTTTATTTGCATAATTATATACATATATATTTTTTGCAAGTGTTGTAAACACACAGTAACAATACCAATCAAAAAACATTACAGGATCATTAATAACAACATTTTTGTTCAACTAATACAAACAGTAAAGAAGCTGTTTTCCGTCGAAACAGTCATGTAATATAATTGACATTGCTCAAAATGTACTCACATCATGAATTTGTTGAATAATTAAACTGTATCCAAAATGATACAATTGACCAGTTCGAGGTTTCGTTTATTGTACCACTGATATAACAAATAGCATTTATCTAAGCAGACTTTATTGCAAAACACTATCATAAGGTATACACTTTCAATTTTGTGATAACTTTTTAACAAAATGCATAAACTTTCAGCTTACCTTCAATCAGTCCAAATGTAAAGCTAAAAACAAACAGATGGAGAATCACCATCCTGATTATCCAAGGCGAACCTATTGATTTAACTTCTTGTTACCTTAACGTTGTTTACAAATCACTTGAATTATAAAACACTACTGTTGCGTGAACTACGGAACCTCATCCATCAAAGCTGATTATTGCGCAAGATGGAATATACGCCGCGTTGGGGATGGTTTCATTCTTAAATTTTGTGTGGTTTTTAAAAATATATTTGTTTACATTAAACCTATGTCTGACTCGCGGTCCTAATTAATATGATTAGAAGCCTTTTAGATTTTGATGTATCGTAACGGTAAAACATTTGTTGTAAACATTCGTATTTTATACAGGTTTATTTTATTTTAATTTATATTGAATTTAGCTAAACCCGGTCTACTCAAAAGTACTTGCATAACATGCATAACGAATAGTTTAAATTTGAACTGCTACTAAGTTTTTTGAGCGATTTTCGTGAATGGATTAAGTCGCCTTACTTTGTTAATCTTTATTCCCTTTGTGTATATGGCCTATAAGTAGGGGAGATACACAGAATTATAATGAAAAAGAAAACACATCAAATCTGGTGATTATGAAGAAAGTCAGAATTTTAGATAATAGTCACGATGATCTCTGCATATTGCGCCGCTAAGAATAACACTAAGTATTTCATATTGTTTCTCTTTCTGTACCACAATTAAAGTGCCATGTATTTATAGACAAAAATAATTTTGTTTTATTATTATAAGAAAGATGAAACAGCTTTTCTAGTTAAAACTTATCCTCCAAACATTCACAACATAAAATTAGATAGATGAAAGGGATAAGGGAGACATGAAATTTTGCTTTCTGATTGTCAATATGAAAATAATGATCACAGGATGGTGACTATGGTAAAAATAATTATGGTGGGAAATTCATAATTTGTTGATGGTGATGATTATGATAATGAGGATGTTGATGCTGCTGATGATAATCATAACGATAAAAAAACGATGTTAATATTTATGATGATGTTGTTGTTGATGATGATAGTGATGTTATGGGGAGTACTTTCCTTAAATTAGTTGTAAAAGTGATGCCAGCATGTGGCATGAAGAGTGTACAGAAAAGGAAATTGATACAGGCAACATAAAGTCAGATAATGGTGTCTCGACAGTACGTTGAAATAATGATAATAATATTGATTATAAAAAATGACGTTGATAAGATGATGAAGGCCATAAACATTTTAACAGTTTGCATGCTAAATGCTTTAAAAGGTTTTAAAAAAGTCTTTTTGACGTGGATAACACAAGCTAGTTTGTTGGTTATAGATCTGTTGTTTTTAATTCGTTATTTTCACTTTTTCATGAATGAATTAATAATATTCTGGGAAAAATACGTCAGCATATTCAAAGGCTTAAGGACTGTACACTATAATAACTAGATTAGTACATAAAATGATATTTGGGGTCTTAGATTGGCATTAAGAGACATCACCCCTACAGTTCAAAGATTTTTTCTTTCTTATAAATTCAATGAAGCGATCGGTATTATATTGTTATGTGAACCGAGCGAAGGCCTAACAGTTTGGTGTACTTTTTTATCTTCCGATTCTTAACTAAATTCTGTATATTTCAGAATACATCAGAATCAGTTTATACTTAGTGAAATGTGATTTTAAAAAATATAATTGTTTACCTGAGAGTTACGTCTGATATATGATGTTTTTATCGCTCAGCCTGTTTTACGTTTTTCGTACCTTAAAAAGGCCATTAAATTATTTGCATGACGATTAGTTTAAATCGTAACTAAGTATAGCAAACAAGTTGACACAATGTGACAGGGGGTTTATTAGAATTACATTTCAGGACAAAGTTTAAGGTCCTTTTTTATCACCATGGTAGTTAATATGCAGATATTCACTTCAAATCCGTATTAGTATTTTAGACTAGTAATTGGGCATTTGGCGAGGAGTTTTGTTTTAATCAGGTTTACAGAAACATAATGCCTGCACAATGTACATTCAAGGGAAAGATTAAGCAGAGGTACATTAAGATAACAATCAGTCTCCAAACACTTCAGAAATTTAGAATTCAATGGATGACAATATAAGAAATAAAAGAACTTGCAGCCGTTAGTATGATGATATGATAGATATGAAGATGATGTTGATTATTATGCTTATATGCATGTGTTGTTGTTGTTGACGATGGTAATGATAATTATGATGATAATGATGAAATAATGATACTGAAAAGTGTTTCCTTAATATCAAATGTAATGATGTCTGTACAGTGTACAATCAAGAGATAGATGAAACAAATACAGCAAGATGAAACAAATATTACGAACTTTCACAAATAGGAATTAGATTAACGGGTTAGTTATATGATAATGATGAAGGTAAAGGTGACTATGAAAATGATGATGATTACGGTGATAACGATGATAATACTTGGCACTGTTTATTCCTTTAAGATGATAATACGCATTTTGTTGATGACATTGACTTTTTTTTAATATTAATTTGGATGTTTTTGTTGTTGTTGATGATGACGTTGACAAGACGTATTTTGACAAGCGTTTCCTAAGTACGTTTCAATTATTACATCTTATACTCGAGGACAGTTAGCAAGACAAGACAACATAAAATATGTACCATATAGACCAATAGAACATGTGATGCAGTTGGTGCCATTAAAGGGCGTTTTGCAGTTTTCCCTGTTACATGTAACATGTTCCATTACTTTTATTACATTTCTAGCATAATAAATTTATACAAATTTTTCCTCACTTCGTTTCCATATCGTTTTGTAAATTTTCTGTATTTTCTAACTACTTTTCACATTTTGCTTCTAACAAATTTGTGGTTAGTTATATGTGTCTTTACATGCCAATCAAATTCTTCATTTAGAAAAATACATAGTAAACGTATAAGTTCTTTAATTAGAATGCATGTGTAACATATATATAACAAGTACTTGAATGTTGTATAGACTTTAAATGTGCTATTTGAAGTATTTTATTTATGTTAAGTGTATCCAAAGCAAGTGAGAGCAAGTGCGTTGACAAGCGTTACCTAAGTAACCGTGTTTGCATTTATCACAACTTGTACTCGAAGAGTACTTGACACTGTTGTAAGGACAGGGTTATATACAATATGTCCCATGTAGCCCAGAAGAACATTTTGTGCACTTGATACCATCAAAGTTTGGTTTGCATTTCTTCTGATAGCATGCATGTTCCATCCTGTTTGCTACAATTGCCTAAATAACAACCTCTGGAGCAATTGAATTCACACACATCGCCAAAAAAGCCAGTCTTGCATTCTGTACAGTTTGTTTCCGAAATACATCTCTTACAATTCTGTTGACAATCCATCATACAATCAGAGTCCATTCCGTATTTTCCTTTAGCACAAGTATCACAACGACGGCCTTCATAGTTGTCTTTGCATGAGCAAGTTCCGTAAGTTTTGTCACATGTTGAATTAAGGCACCCTTTGCTACAGTCCTGTCTGCAGTCCGGTCCGTAACGACTTTGGTTAGTGCAAGCAATACAGTGCACGACCCAATGACTATAACATTGAGTACATCTTGGCGGACATTTTTTACATTGAAGGTATGCTCCGTTTCTATAAGAATAATATCTGTTCTTGCATTTTGGACAGTGGACGCCTCCCCCACCGCAGGTTAGACATCCATAAGGGCAATCCATTTCTTGAACTAAAATGCAGAAACAAAGTTTGCTGTAATCCAATCTTTCACTTTACGTTAACTTACAGAATTCTTTAATTTAATTCCTCTTATATTTGGTTGAAAAGATCATATTTCCTATTGATACCCTATAGGCGTCCCACAAAAAGAAGCGAACAAAACAACTATAAAATGACATTAAAATATTGTTAACGATATATTATCTATGAAACTAAATCAAGGGAACTAAATTGTGCACACGTGTATTCATTACTATAGAAAAAAGAGTGGTGAAAACGGAGTGAATGATTTGAAGTAAAATGTCGACCATCTAACTGAAAAATTGTGTTTTGCCCTGATATACTTCGATACAGCAAAGGGAACTAACTATCTAATGTATATTTGAGTTTGGTAATGCCCTCAGATCAGAGATGGGATAACATTGCCCCTTTAGTTTTTATATAAGTTATTTCTTTATTGTATACTTCTTGGTTTAGAAGGACTGTACAACGTAATTTTATGATGTCTTCTAAAGCGGTTTAAAGACTTATGATGTGTCTGTACGATAGCTATTTCATGCTACGGTCATATTCATTACATGCAAAAGCAATTATAGCATTATCCAAACCACACTGTCTCTTATAATGTTTTGTATGAAATACTGTTTTCCGGATCTTATAATGAAAACGACATAATATGAAGATTTTGTTAAGGTAACAGTGGTCACTTTTTATATCTGAATATAGAAAATATCGATATATGTGTGAACTTTATATTATATCAACCTACCAACATTTGTTTCTTTCCTAACAAGGTTATTCAAAGAATAAAGAGAGCTATTTCACTTGCCAAGGCTTCCGTGTCAAAATTTGGTTAAGAATGTTGCGGCAAGTTGTTATTCCCAAAACTACAGTAGGGAATGCGTCTTAAATTCACAAAGTTATTTTAAAGCATACATGTATAGGAGTATAATGTAACACAAGATAGAAAAGATGTTCATAACTCAACATGTGTAAGTTTGTTATAAGAACGACTCTTCTGCAAAATTTCAAAAAGTACAGTCACTTTCGTGGGATCTATATAACACGACCGGGAGCAAAATGCTTATTTCTTGGCGGAAATTATAACAACAGATACACCCAATACATATATTGATTGAAAACCAATGCAAAACATAGAACCGGAATGTGCTTTACTTTTTCTTGAGCTCCATTTGAGATCATCACTGTTTTTGGGATGATTTACACAATTAACCTGAAAATAAATCAAGGCAATTTCAAAAGTCTGTTCAAAGCATTGGCTTATATTAACACTTTTTTCACAAATTGTGTTTATTGGATATATTTAGCATGAGGAAATGATTTATGTTTATATACATTGGTCTACAATTGCCAAAATTTCTTTAAGTGTTTCAAATATTGATAAAAAAATGGGTCAAAGACAGAAAAGGCCTGGCTGCATTTGTATACCAAATATCATGATGTTGTGATGTTATGGAAAAACAATTACCACTGACCATTAATGTAGAAAATTTATCTAAGTCAGTAAACAGGATGTGGAGTAGCAACAGACCTGAAATCGAATCTCACAGTATGGGACTACATGTCAATGTTGTATGCCAAATATCAAGAGGCTGTGATAAGTAGTTGCTAAGAAAACTGTTACGAAAATTTTCTACGATTGACCATTAATGTCGAAAATTTAACTAAGTCGATAAACAGGAAGTGAATGAGCGACAGACCTAAAATCTGATCCCATGGTATTGGACCATGTGCCAATGCTGTATGCCATATATCAAGAGGCTGTGATAAGTAGTTGCTGAGAAAACTATTACAAAAAGTTTTTACTTTTTATAGGATTGCACACTTTCCAACAATATCAAGACAAATTCGTTCGTTTTTTTTGTTGGTATGTCTAATATTAAATACTATTGTATTACACAATAGAAAAAATATGAGTTGTTGAGACACCATTTTACAGTATTACAGAAACAAGACTACAAAACATTTTGAAGCCATTTTGGTAACAGAGTAAACCACAGATGCTCCAACTCTTATTTCAAAAGCTTTGCTTTGCTTGATATTTGCTACATATACCATTTCAAAGGTCATCAAATACTAGAGTTCAGGAAAACAATTGTACAAATTCTGAAAACAAATATCAACAAGGAAGGGTGGCATTCAATGAACACAACCAAGCAACATCGGACAACTAGCAAGGAGTCTAGCGAGACACAAAACAATAATAAGCTGACACAAGGGTATGGTACGGACAGGTAGTTATTATAAATACATATAATTCAAAATAGGAAAACATAACAAAACCGACCAGTATATTTAAGAAGACAAATGATTAAAATGCCAACAAATAGATATGGATGAATGGGAAAGGTACCCGTGAAATACGATATAAGAAATGTGATGTATGATATTTTCGATCAATGGACTTGACAAGCAATGACTGCATTTACCAACAGCAAAAACTAGCAAATTGTTATTGAAAAAAATCATGGCACATTACGATAATCAACGTACATATCATTGATGATTTATAATAACTTGTAATAAAGTTGACTGACAAATCAGATAATTCCCTTCAAATCGTTCTTTTGACAAAATAAAGTTCAACAATCTTTAGCAACATGAATGGTGTTATCGCATTTTTATCTTTGTATATTAAAAAAAATACACAAAATTAAAATTCATCATTTCTATGATTTAAAACATTTCGTAGTCATTGCAAACAAAGAGCAAATAATGTATGTAATGTATTGCGCTTACCTGAACAATGTAATGCCCATAATTACAACTGTATATTTTGAAGAATGTCCTGTAAGTTTCATTGCTGATGAGCCATTTCCTACATTAAAACAAATGATAATAAAAACAAATCAATGTACCTAAACACTGAACATTATGTAAACAAAGAATGATATTTCGTACAACTAATAAGCTTTTGTGACTTCGGTCAGTCGAACAATTATTATGTAGTGTCCAACTTTATTTTTCATCCAATGGAAACGCTTTATTTCTTCAAAATTATGTGTGTTAAGTTTCATAGAACAACTAAAGTCGATAATATATATCAAATTCTGTCCATAGTCCCCTTCTATTTTTCATAGTGCTTCATAGAACCGCGTATGTAAAAATTGTCATAAGCATAACTTTGCACATGCGCTGTCGTGGGCCGCTTTTGAATATTTTTTTAGTAAAAATGAAGCCATTGAAAGGTCAACATAATAAGATATAGGATATACTTGAAGTTCAGTCTTGGCGAAAATGATACTGCACGTGTAAAAGTAAAAACCAATATAAAATGTCAATTAATATTTTTTTATTACGAATGTAGGAAAAGGTCTTAATTAATTTGTAACTAAGAGGAAAGTCATGTGTGTCTACTCGTTTTTCTTTTTTTTCCGGTAGGCATAAAGTGAATGTAGACATTATGTTTTTGGAAAATACGTTACGTGACCTCGTGTTTACACATGACATTTAATGTATACATGTATAAATCATATAATATATTAGCTACTGAGTATCAATTGTTCAACTCATTAAAATTTTTGTCGAAAATAAATGTTTTCTTATCGAGCAAATGAAAACTCCATATTCCCAACTGAAACACAAGGGTACACGCGGCTTCGCGCGCAAAATGATGTAAATCATGCATATTTATAAGGTCAAATTTAAACCCGCCATTCAGGTAATTGTTTAATAAAGCAGACATGTAGTGACGTAATAAAGTGAATATTAATGAGGCCAAATAAAATTTTACACTAAATATGTAAGTATTTATCCGTATCTGTTCTACAGAAATTAGAAACATCCTCCGGTCGCTATCGCTCCCGTCGAAGTTTCTCATTTCTGTAGAACAGCACAGATGAACACTAACATATACATAGATGAATCCAAAAAGATACGCCAAAACCTATTGATAAAACACTGTTAGACAAACAAATAAAAAAGTGTTAAATCATGAAAATTCCAATGAAGTCAACTCAGCAAAAACAGAGGAATAAAATTAAGCAAGACTGGTATGCATGTAATTTATATCTAACTAAGTAAAACTTTGTAATTACCATTCAATGTTTCAGTCATATTGCAGTAAGTTCCGTGCTTCCCTAAATCGCAAATATCACACTTTTCTCCAATAAAACCAGTTCTACATTTGCTATACATGCATACTCCTGTCTTTTTCAAGCACATGCTTTTGTAGCATCCAATGGAACATTTGTGTTGGCAGGCAGATCCCCAATGACCATGCTGACAATGATCACAACTTGTATTCCCGGAGCATGCGACACAGCTCTCAGGGCAGGGTAATTGACAATATGTTCCATAAAACCCGGGGAAGCAAGTTGTACAATTGATACCATCAAAATTCGGGTTGCATTTCTCCTGATAACAAGTGCCATTCATTTGGCTACATCTCCCTAAATAGCAACCTCTTGAACAATTGAATTCACACGCGTCGCCAAAGAAACCGTCTTTACATTCTGTACATTTGTCGTAAGAAGTACACGTCTTACAATTTTGTGGACAGTCCTTCACGCAATCCGAGTCAATATCATATTTTCCTTTGGCGCAATAATCACAATGACCACCTTCATAATTGTCTCTACACAAGCATGTTCCGGACGAATGCTCACATGTTGAGTCCAGGCATCCTTTACTACACACATCTTGGCAGTTTTGCCCATAACGCCCCTCTAGGTAACATTTAGTACAAATCATATAATGTTCACATTCTGAGCACGCAATTGGACATGACCTACATGTATAATAAGCCCCTCCTCTTGCCAAATAATATCCCTTCGGACATGACGCACAGTTGTAAGGCACTCCTGCGCATGTCAGACAGTTGTGAGATTTGTCGCATTCATCAGACGCTTGCGCTGTATGAAATGTACAAAATGATATCAAACGAAATCTGCCTGCGCTTTATAAGAAACTTAAAATGTGATACTGAACAAAAACTTAGTATAGGGCAGTGAATTGATAACCTACTACATTACAGTTTTTGCCAAGTAAAAATTCGAAGTAATACTTTATTTTTTTTTATTCTGTAATTTAATCTTGGGCCGTGGATAAACAGGACAAACAAAAGATTTTTTGAAAAAGACGGTTTGAAAGTGCTAGTCTGACAAAGTCGCCCTCATGTGAAGAAAGAATAGAACATCGGTTACGAAAAGATTCTTTAATAACACCACGGGATACCGTTACTTGATTTGTTTGTTTGTTTGTTTCATTTTACGTCTTTTTCAACAGTATTTCAGTCATATAGGCGGGTACTTTCCTAATCATCGTTCCTGGAGAGTTACACCAGTACTAGACTACCTTCCTCCGCGCTAAACTACCAAAGCATCTCCCGGGGATCGAACCCACGCCAGAGAGGTAACTGGATTAGAAGTCATCGACTCTAACCCCTCGACCACCGTTACTTGAACGAGTATTAGTTTAAATGGATACCTTTGAGGTCACTAGTTATTTCTAATCACATATGCAATTTTTAGATTCATTCTGTATGATAAGGGAAGAAAAAGATAGCAGTTCGAGATGAAAGAAAAAGAAGTTTAAAATGCAAGTAACAAATTTAGAATATGATCCCGTATATTTTACAGGACTATTTGTTTAAAGTTACTGGTAGAAAAATATACAACGATAGTAGAGTATCTAGCGAATATCAACAAAAAGAAAGTGAAGAAGAAGTACCGAGTTTTGAGTTGTGACAACAATTTTAGTAGTTATTGATGTTTTTCCTTTTGATAAATCATTTTTAAAATAAAGAAGAGATTATCAAAAATGTGAACTGAAATGCAATGCATTTGGCAACATACATATAAACTAGTATTCCGCATACCTTCAGTAAGTCCAAACAACATGCCTAAAACAAACAAATATAGAAAAACCATCCTGAATCTCCAAAATCTAAAACAACCGATTTAACTGCTTGTTACCTAAACGTGGTTTACTTCACAATATAGAAATACTACGGTCACGTACTCAACGGAATGTCGTCCATCAAATCCTAATGTTGCGCAAGATAAAATACACTCCTTAACAATACATTACAATGGTGATGATTTCATATCTAAGCTGTTTTGCGGTTTTAAAAATGTATGAATATTTACGTGAATCGCTACGTCTGTCACAATACTTTAATATGGTCTGTTGCTTTTAAGGCTCCGTGTGCAGTAAAACAGTTTTGTTGCTCATGACCTATGGTGTTATAGTTGTATCATTTTTTGTTTAATTTAGCTTAAACTCCTGTGCACCAAAACGACAAAATATAACAAAGCGCTTAAAACATAGCGAAGTAAAATGTTAAGCATTTTCTTGGGAAAAGTTGTAAGAAGCCTCATAAAAGTATCTTCTTTTGTTTATCCATGTCTCAGCAAGTAACAGTTTTCAGCCATTGTTTTAATATAGCCCCCTGAAAATTTGACATTAATTGTTTATTGTCCATGCCGTAGAGGTTTTCAGGAATAGTTTTATATATAGCCATAAAAAGTTGGCATAATTCACGTTTTTCTTGTCAATCATGTCATAGAAGTGAGCAGAATGGTTTTATATTGTTTTTATGCCAATGCGTTAACAGGTACATAGAGTTCATTAGAACCATATTTCACGACAATGTTGTCTAAGCATCGACACACCAGGTTACATGATCTGTATGTGTGTGTGTGGGGGGTGGGGGGATGGGGTGGCAGGGTGCGTAGAAAATAGACAACCGGGTGTTTTGATGTTCTTTCTGTTGAGTGCCATAGCTAAAGAAAACATTGCTTTTCTCGTGGTCACATCATGTTAAGTCCCAAAGAATGTAGCCTATCTTCGAGTATGTTTATCATAGGATCAAGATTTTATCTTTATTCCCGCCATGGTCATGTCGTCGGTTGAATATGTGCATTGAAGGACTGATAAATTGAGTTAATAAAGAAATGGATTCTTCAAATGTTTGTTTGTTTCCCTAGATTTTAATGTCGATTTTAACACAATCATGATCTTGGTCATCTCGTCGGTCAATCCACCTACCTAGCTTTTCGTGATTAACCAGTATTTACAAAAATCTCTGCCAGTGATCATCTACTAATCTGACATGATATCTGAATCAACAGTGAGAGACAAATGGCAATTAGACTCAATGCCCGAGATAAATCACCACATAGATAGTACTCCACACCCGAATATGGGACCAACAGGACCCTAGATTACTTATCCGATACTCTCCCTATTGCATGAACTGGTAGTAAATGTGAGCAATAACATTTCTGTTTAACCTTAATTCTTCTGGGTTTAGAATGAAGTCACTGTGTTAAATTATTTTTTAAATATCCAACCTTAATAACGCTCATTATTTTTTTTTAACTTTCTAACACCCGAAGATGGGACCAACAACACCAGAGATTACTTATCCGATACTCTCTCCCCGTTATATGAACTTTTCATGAATGTTAGCAATAAAATTTCTGTTTAACTTTAATTAGAATGAAGTCACTGTGTTAAATTATTTTTTAAATATCCAACCCTAAAAACGCTCATTATTTTTTAACTTTCTACTATTTTAGCTCGACTATTCGATAAGAATAAATAAAGCTATTGTAGTCAACCGAGCGTCGGCGTCGGCTACGGTGTCGGCGTCTGTGTCGGCGTAACCACTTATGTTAAAGTTTTTGTAATACCTCAAATATTTTCAAAGTCCATTGACATGACACATGACATGACATTGGCTATGAAACTTTGCACACTTGTTCACCATCATGACCCCAACCTTTAGACAGGAGGAGGTAACTGTATCAAGCATTTTGACAGAATTATTCCCCCTTTTCGACTTAGAATTTACGTTAAAGTTTTTGTAATACCTCAAATATTTTCAAAGTCCATTGACATATGGCTTTGAAACTTTGCATACTTTTTCACCATCATAACCCCAACCTGTACACAGGAGGAGGTAACTGTATCAAGCATTTTGACAAAATAATGCCCCTTTTCTGACATAGAATTTACATTTAAGTTTGCATACTACCTCAGATATTTTCATATACTTTTGACATCTGGCTTTGAAACAAGTTGAAACTTTATAGTCTTCCTTGAAAGCATAATAGGACTCTCTCCAAGGCCTATAACAGTAACATGGATTTAAAGAAAAATTTGGCCCTTTTGTTAACTAAGAAAGTTTTACATTATCAAGGCTCTTTTTCTATCAAGCACTAAGAATAGTCGAGCGTTGCTGTCCTACCGACAGCTCCTGTTTATACTCTCTTCAGTGGAGTACACTTAACACACTGTAATACACTGTTCAAAACTCAATTATGATACAATACACTCTAACAATTGGCCGCATGAAACGCCGTACTGCAAGCTCGGCTTAAAATATATATAAGCAAGACAGAAAAGTGATTTTTGTTTCTTTATTTAGATCTTTGATAATAACTCTGCATACAATAAAATACTTTTAATTATATAACTGATATGCTGTCTTCCCATAACATAGTATTCGATGTTTGTAGAAAGTTCATGTAACGGATGTTACAAAAAAAGCTTACAGTTTAAATAAAAAAATATGACATATACAATAATATAGGTAAAACAATTTATAACCATGACAACCAACCTGCAGATTCTTGTCAAAATAAAATAAAACATTGCTGAAAATCAATTCCAAAGTATATAGCACTTATGTTTACGTTTGTTTCCTTCTTTCTATTACAATGTCGTTATTTTCTTTTTCCTTGCTTTTTAATTTCAAATCATAACAGTTTTTTCTTATTTCTACATGACTTGATATTAAATCAGCATACATAACAGATCATGTGTTAATTGTATGTCTTTGTAATATTTTCCTTACCATATAATCAGATTTTACGTTACTGGGTCCCTGTTCCTTGTTCAAGTACATACTTTTTGAATTGTTTAATATATCAGTATAAAATCTAGAAAATATGAGATTTTTTCTTAGTTAAAATGTACATAATATCATTTTCTTATAACATGTCTAAATTATTTTTGTTTACACATATATATGTAAATAAGTAAAACTTGGTTAGTTATAAGGTTGTAAGATACAAGGTAAAAAACAATAATCATCATATGATAATCAAAATATCACGATACAGATATTTACATCTGTAATTATATTATATATCTGTCCATACCTTTTACATTTAAAAAAGAGCGATCTATATGTATATTCCATAGGAAAAATGCTCTAACAAGTAACCAAAAAAATCTTTTATAAATCTGTACTCAATTTTGAAATATTAAAATTGCCATTGCATCCATATTGCCAGTTTGATAATCTATTCGAAATTTCTATTTTTTTAAAGGTTTTTTTCTATCTAAAGCTTTTGATAACGTACACTTAGCACTATATATTGGTAAAATATGAATTTCAAAAAAGGAATAAAAATCAAGTTACTAAATCTTATAAACCTATCGAAATAGCAGTTTATATATACATGAAGTAACGTAATTGCAACATACTTTACACTCAGCAAGTGTGACAAAATTATATACACTAAGTCAGTATCCAAAGCACCGTGTACATCTTTATATCTTGTTGTAAAACAAGCTAGATTTTCAATAATTTACACATGTTTAAATCATTTTTCTTAAAACAAAACACAAAACGAAATACAATATGAGGAAATATGTATTCTATTTCTACAATACAGATATAAAAATCCGCGTGCCCAACAAATTGATTTAAAATATCATTTAAAATATATATTTTACATATATTTTTTAAAATCCAACAGAAATGTAACGTAAATTACATACTGAAAATCCTTAAAGCCGGTAACATATAAAACAAATAAAAAAATCTCTATAGAACAGATAATTAAATCTAAAATTTCCGAAATAAATATATATAAAGGTTGTGACGAAAATTAAGAATCCTAAAAGCCGGTTGCGTACATGTGACATACATATTTAACAGTCATTATAGAAAATAACGTTATATTTTCAAAATTCCGAAATACATATACCTAAGGGGAAAATTCTGATAAAAATGAATGATTTAATTTCTAATGAACAAATCAATGAAAAGAAAGAACAATCATAATTTTTATCACATGTAAATATAGATATCTGCTTTAAACAGAGGTAAATATAATGACTAAATGAAAACCTTTTGACATGAAGTATATATAACAATTGTTTTTTCTTTTTATTTCACGCCTCAAATCTGATAATACACAAAAACAAGATTAGATATTAGCATATAAACAAAGTATAACATTTGTTTCTGATTAAAGCTCAGATTTCGCCTATCCGCCAACAAACACACTTTGGCGACATACAATGCAAAACCCCTCACAGCACAAAGGTGTACCTGTTTCCGCATGGAAATAACGAGATTCAGTTGATCCTCTACCAGATTAGTGACCTCTTTCAAGCTGTCAACACTTCATAAACTTTCAGATTATTTGTTGTTCAATTTTTTAATTTAAATTATCATTAGTATTTCAAATCCGATCTTAACAAATCTCGCTAAAATCTTTTGCATGTTGTCTATATTTGGACATTGCAGATTTCTATTATGAGTCTAAAAATAGAACAATACAAAACATTTCATTGGCTGTAGTTTCCTTAAAAATCTGGTTATGTAATACATGTATGTCTATAAATAGAACATCATTTTTTTCTATTTTTGTAAATGTCCTGTTTTTAAAGCTAACAGTTCTCAGATTTTGCTTTCACGTCCTTCATTTTCTTCCGGAATGTTATCATCACCTAGCGTAAAGTTAGCTTTTGATCCATTTCGTCGATTTACAAGTCTGAAAGTAAAAAGAGAAAACAACTTGTTTAGCTATTATGTTTGAATTATAGACCACATGATAACAATAAGCGACAACATGATAGCACGTTATTAAATTTCACATGATAAATGTCCATGACAACACAATTCTTGTATGGAAAACATATATAAATACAGGATTTATGTTTTATTCAAAACCTGAAAATTTTAAATAAACATATTAACGGACAAAATAGAATAACAAAATCAAAATATTTCGAGATAAACGTCTGGACTAACAGATCATTCCTTCAATCTTAAGTATTTGCCATCTGTTGTTAAATATAGCCGAAATTTTGATTGGTTGGTGTCACGTCTTACATACGACCATTGGGAGTGGCTTCTAAGAAGACTTGACACCAGATGCTAAAAATACTCTTCTATATATAGATTACACTTTTACAGTGGATGTAGATCTACATTGTTGTATCTAAATAAAATTGATAAGATGAATGAATAAAAAAGCACACACACAAAAAGAAAAATAATAACAGAAAAAAGTGCAGTTAATTGAAATCACGGCAATCCAAATGTGTAAAAATCATGGCGACCAAACATTATAGAATCAACAGAAAATGAACATTTATTTGATAACACATGGAAATAGCAAGTAAGTCATAGCGCTTAAATGGATTGTTGAAGAGCAAAGCTTACAGCAATTGAAGTAATTTTCAACTTCATTTACATGCTGCATCTCTTAGCGATTAAATGGTTGTGATTTCAATCACCGTTTTCCTTAAGTTTAAATCAACACATAAGAAGAAATATCGAACCTAAAAATCTCTTCTGCAAGTTAAAAGCATCTTATAAGAACAAGCAAAGAAAAAGTATTAATATTAAATACGTTATGAAAAGGTAGTAAAGCACACCACGGCAACTCCAAATGACGGCAGCAATTCAAGAGATGAAAGGAAATAAAATATGTATATAGTTCAAAAACAATTACATAGCAAGATAAATAAAGAAACATTTGTTAAATGGTTTAGCAGAACACGAGCACAGCAGAGAGATAAGACAGCAGAACAAAACACAAAACGTGTGAGAACTAGAAGAGGTGGGTGTTGTGTTGAAAAGGGGTGGGTGTTGGCATTTATTGTTTTGTTTTATGACGTTTTTATACTGTATCAAAATGGTACGATGTCTGAAATGGTAAAACCCTATTATCAATCCATCAACTATTATGGCTTCTAACCGAGTGTCTATGATTCGAACTGGCAATAAGATTTTACGCACCTTTTTTCGGGCGATTATCTAAAATAAGTGCAAACCAGCCGAATATCAAATTCGTGTTGGTCTTGGTTGAGTTTTTTTCCCAACTGATGTCTATTATGGTTTGTAATTTGCGAGAAATTGTTATTTGAAAATATTGTGACTTTACAACTTTTACTTGAGAAGGAATACCTAAACCTTCTCACTGCTGAAACCGGAAGTGAGCAGCCTTTGCCACAAGTGTAGAGCCTGGCCAATCTGCTTATTCGTGTTATGTCATTCTTATCTACTTTGTTGACTGACTGATTTTATTCTCTATATTCAATAATGTATGATGGAAAGTCGCCCAAAAAATAGTCATTTCTTTTTAAAACATTAAGCAGCTTTCTGGTTAAAACCTAGCTTCTTAGCTCAAATATTATTTTACATAATTATATAAGTTTGAATAAAGAAATCAATTCAAGTTTCAATTTAGAAATGTTTTGTTTTATTAAAATAAAACAAAAGAAACAAAAAAAGGGTTCGAATCAAAAGTCTTCAAATGACTTCAAATGACGGGAACGTCATACCACGTCAAGGACTTTGCATAATAATGTAATTTGTAAATATCATTGCATCCATTTTTGTCTCTTATCTATGCTATATATGTACGAATAAACATTGTCGTATGTGCATAACTTGTACGTCATAGATATATGAACATATTGTTTCATAAACAAGATAAAAGAATGGAAGATGTATCAAATATTGGATAAAAAGGTGCAAATATAGGGGCGTGGTGTCTCAAGCGATTAAATACATTTGTGTTTGCAAATACAAGGGGCCGTTGATTTAAATATCATGTCATGCTACTTGTAAAAGTGTTCATTTTACATGTATATCTTATTTGTGTGTATAATAAAAAATATATAAAATGTGAATATATTTGTGACCTGTTCTTGGAAAATTCCTCCAGAATTGTAATAGATATATACAGGCAGTATCAATTTTAGAAAGAAATTCATAAAAGTTTTTATTAAGTGCATGTGATAGTAATCAACCATAGTTATCTAAAAAAAGCTTTAAATTGTAAAGATTCTAAAAAAATAGCATTTCTGGAGATATTTCTCGTTCGAATGAATATCTTTATAAGATAAAACATTTTCCAAATGCTTCATAAAACTCGGTTTTTTCCGCCATTTTCCGTATCATATGACGTCTAAATAAGCGTTTACATGAAGAAAAAAATGTGTTTATCAAAATCATTGTTAGTTACGGAAAATGACGGAAATGGCCGATGTTTTATGAGTACTCATAGGGGGAGGCATATAATAATGTGAACAAATGGATGCAACACTGGTATTGATGTGTGGGGAATGTAAAGAAATAGGATGACAGTGTTGTTTACGTTACCGATCACCGAAGTGGTGGCGTTCATTGTGACTGAGCTTAGGACTGAAACTTAACATTAAAAAAAACAGAAGAGTTGTTAAACATCTCGATATATAATATAGATATATGAATCACATCTAACGATTTGGGTCTCTGGGTATTTTCGTTTTTGTTTTCATTTTAGAGCTATATGTTTTCAGAATCAAATTCTTCAACCCCTATATCTGAACAAAAGTACTGGCATCAAAGCTAATCAAAACTAACGTATAAGAAAGGACAGAATATACTGCAATGATTCTGACTACACATTTGATATTATAATAAAACAAATGAAATAGACGTTGAAAATTTTGACGTCAAAACTATGATGTCATTCCTTTGACGCCAGTTTTCACTCCACAAGGACCAAAATCGCGAGACGTGACAAAAATTATATAAAATATGACATGATAATGCACAATATAATCACGTATGATTTAACATATACTAAATATAATATTTTCTTTATTAAGATTATTCTTAGACAAAAGATAATACCAAAATGTTATCTTATAGATATAAAATGGTTATTTTAGATAAAGCAGTTGTTTGAATTCATAAGCTATTCTTGCGCTTAATGATAAAAAAATACTATTTCTAAAGAATTTCTGAAAATGATTTTTAAAAAAAAAACTATTTTACATCTTTTTACAAATAAGCTTACGATTGGCACCTGTTGAAATTAAGACTCTTCAGTTAAAGTATTCTTTAAACTTATATAATTATACATCAATTTAATTTTGTATATTCGGTCTCTGTATTTATTTCTTATCAAAGCGTTGGTTAACTAAGATATCTCTTTATCATAAAGATGGTTCTTTGATTATTTTACAATATGGAGAATGCCGATAATGACCGGATTGTAACGAAGTCATGATAAATTCACTGCCTTAACAAATATACAGACTGACTGATTTGTCTTAACTTTGGAATAGCTTTATAAAAGAACTACTTTGTCTAACTTTGTAAAATTGAATGAATGATTCTTGGATAATTTGTCTATTTTTGAAGACTTACAATTTAAAGATCAGACCGTCTGAAATAACGACATGTATAACATTATGTTATTGTTCATTTCCTTTTTAACAAGCAAACTCGATCGTTTGAATTCGTTAGTTCTTACTGTTTTTGTCATATATAAACAACTTTAGAATAAAATATAACAAGCCGTGTTCTTTTAACACATATAGTGCCACAGAAATCTGTCACGTAAAACAAAGCAACGGTGAGGATTTCCTTAATTTTGGAAATTTTACCACGAAAGCCAAGGCTATAACATGTATAATGAAGGCAAGGTTATATTCGATACATTAAAGAACAGCTATCGAAGAAATGAAAGAAACACGCAGGGTTTATTATAAAAAGGGCAAAAACAATACATCCCTTGCTATATTGAGTAAGATGGGTATAAAAACTAAACAAAATTTACGCAAGTATTCACAACTAAGATTTGTAATATTGTGACAATTATATTCATAACATTTTGTTCATAATTCATATGATTTCTTTATAGTCTTATGCAAAATATATATAAGCTTTCAAAATAGCGGTAATATTGTTTATTGTTTTGTTGTAGGACCTTAAACCAATAGAATCTAATGCAAATTAGATTTCGGACCGCTTATTAGACCAGCCTTGTATAATTTCTGAAATTTTAATTTGAATTTTTCGTCAGACTCATTTACATAATGACAGCTTTGTACTTCCTAAGAAGGTTCATTTCTTACATAAGTTTATAAAATACTCACTTGGGTTGGGAAGAATTATTCACTCCCTCCAGGACAGGCAACGAGTCTCGTCTCACTTGCATCCAGATACCTGTTTTACTCATTTCCTCCGATATATTCACCCGGTCGCTGTTTGGAACAGCCATGTAACCCCCAAATTTATCTCCCATTGTATGTTTCATCTTTAGGTCCATCATCTTCTCACGTTCGTCTATTTCCATTTCATCGTCGTCGGTCGGATCCTAAAAATATTATATCACTGTTAATAAACTGTTACGCGAAAATATGAGTCGAACAGATCCTGAATTATAGATTCACTATTAATGAACTGTTACGCGGACAAAATTGTACATCGGCTCCTTTGTAAGTATGACTACCAATAAACCGTAACGTAGAATAACGATTCGTTGGATCCTGGATCATTATGCTCACTATCTTTTAACTACTACGCATCACGTCAAAAACTTTGAATAACTTAATGTGAAGAAGCTATCCAGCTAGCTTACGGAATATCTGTGGTTCTACTACGGTGCCATTCGAGTCTGAAATAATGCAGGTAGGGTCTTCCTCAGCCAGTAAAGCTGGAAATTCACCATTTGACCTTTTCAGCGTTGGTGCCAGGTAAAACCCAAAGAAAAAAATCCTATGAATTATAGATTTTATCGGATTTGCCTTTCTTTCGATGCCCAGCTAGTATGAACACCAAAAAACGGGGTCAAACGCATTTTTTCACAATTTCTTTCACTATAACATAAACGTTCTTTTAAAAGAACATTACATCACATCTATTTTTAGCACTTACCCCGTAAAAACCTTTCTTTTCATCTTCTTGCTTATTCTTGTCTTCACTTGGCATGATATCATCAAGGTACGACAGTTCATACTGAGTAAACATCTTGTCCATTGCCTTTCGAACGAAACAGGTTCCGACAACCTTGATGTCATTAATAAAACATATAATAATTACAAAGGCAGTGGATACTTAATAATTGTACTTAATTTGACATTCGTTCGTTTCATCCGTTTATTTAACGTCATATTACTCTGATATATTATAACTTATAATCAATCAATACTACAGTTTGCAGAAAAACAACCATTTGTTTTTTAAAATGTTATCTGAGTATCAAAATCAAAAATTGATTCCTAAGAATTCGTTACATTTCGCCACTTTCCGTGACATATAACGATCAAATTAGCGTCCAAATAACAAGGAGCAAACCAGTCATGTCAACCCACAGCTTTTAAAACAAATTCTGAAAAGCGCAAAGTATCGTAAAGTGACAAATTCGACGACCTAATCATCGAACAAGAACCTTAAACCGTACAATTACGTACCATGACAGGGAAGGCAATGGAGATTGCTTTGACCATTTTTACAACCCAGAGAACGCCGAGACAAATTATCTGAAGGAATGTGAAAAAATGAATGCGGTTGATCTTCACGTGACGGAGGTAAGTGGAATCAGGCTGATATTTGGCTGGCATAAAGAGAAGTCCGAGACGGTCTATAAACTGAAATAGAAGTAAATATTAGAGATGAATCATTCAGATTTACCTCCCTTTAATATGAAAATATTATATAATATAGCTATAACTCAACTAAGGCATTTAAGAGATCCGTTTGATGTTTAATATCTTGTAAACAGAAATGATTATGTATACTTTACTAAGGAATCAATAAAGTTATATCGTTTTTCATGAGACAAGTTTTGAAGTCCGACCAGGCTTTATACCATTTCCTGACTAACTTTAAATTTTCATTTTGATATGCCCCAAAATTGAAAATGCACAGTTTCATTTAAGAAATTTAGAACTTCAACGTTAAATACTTCCTACAACGTGTATAATTACCTGCATTCCTTTAAGGGCAGCCACACCCATGTACAAGAACACTCCGTAAAGCACAGGCATGGGGATCATCTGGAAAATAAACCAATAGGTCATTTATGGTATCAAGATTAAACTACATGTAATGAATGATCCATTGATTAATGGATTTATACAAACAGGACTGAGCTAAAAAGAGTACAAAGAATTATTTCAAATTATTTCTCTAAATGAAAATTACATTACTGTATCTACCAAGGAAAGACTTATTACTTTCTAGTAACACAAGTACTGAAATCAATTATCCCAAAGGACAAAAAAATTGTGTAATTACTGATGTCAAGAAATGTTAAGAACTTAAGACATCTTACCGTAAGAACGCCGGTTAGAAGTACAGCACAACCGCTGAGGATTCCCACCAACAAAGCTGTCACTCGCTGTTCTCTAATAATAAAATAAACAAACATTTAAACAACCAAGACAGAAAGTCATTTCATAGATATATTTAATATACATGCTATCTAAAATCATTTTTTATAATTCATATAGACTCTTCTATAAGAATCTTTAGAAATAAACATTGTTTAGTCAAATGTTAAAAACGATAAAGATAACGATAATTAAACCAAATACAACGCAGAAAAACATGTGACCGGAAGCAGGCCACCAATGGGAACACGTGACCGGAAATAGGTTATCAAACCAAAACAATGGTGGGATAGGAAAGTTTTTTAATTTGGTTTTGAATTCAGTTTACGCATAAGGTTTACGTGCCAACTGTTGAAACAATTTAAATTGCATGTCACAAATTCAAGCAAATGGATAAATCTTAATGAAACAAAAGGATAAATACCTGCATCCTAAGAACATTGGTTTTTCACCAGGAGCTGCGGTTTCTGATTCTTTTTTCAAGGACATAATGTGAGCAATGGCGGACACGGTGGCAGCGACGTACCATGGAAGACCAAGTAATGAGCATATTGCAATACAAACAGCTACGACTAGCAAGTCCAAATGGTACCCGTTACCTTTCTGTAAAATAAGTGATTACTGTAAAATCAGTCTGTAAAATATAATTTGTGTGATCGTTTTTTTTTTCAGAGCTGGTATAAATCTTTTTTCATTGTAAAGCACAATGTAGTCATCTTCCAAGTTTTTACATCAAGCATTCCACTGTGCACTAGTATTGGCTCACTAAGTTGCCTGTTACAATGACTATTTTACGATGAATATTATGTTATTAATACTGAAAAAATTAAGGTGCAAATTTCCCTAAACAATAGAAAAAAGGATCATTAAGAGGTAAAACCCAGTTTGAACAATAAACTTGAATTTAAATTAATCGTCTAACATTCAGCATATATCTTCGAACATAACAACACTAAATACATGTAAAATTTCCATTATCAATACAAAAAGCAAGTAATAACTTCAGACCATCAGTTTCTTTTGTATTCTACACGCACCAAAATTTTACACCTTCTGCCGGTGCATACAACCCGGATTTTAGTACTTAAATGTCTTAGCTTGATGGCAGCGAAATATACTATCCTTCCTCACAAGTATAGACAATAGCCAGACTACTTTCTTTCGGTTGGATCGGGATCAATACAGTTGTAGTCTGATTAAATTTAAAAAAAAAATCATATTAATATCTATATCCCTAAAACTGATAATGGACATTTCCAAAATTAGAACCTGGGCGAGTCTATTCATTAAACCCAGCAGGTTCAGGGTATATAAACAAAGAAATATGTGGAAAGCAGACGACATCTTCATACCTTCAGTTTGTTTTCTTTTCTGTTCACAATGACAGCTGTAATCTGCTGGTCCATGAAGATCAGCACGAGCGCAAGGAACGCTGGGATAACAGCAGCAATGGCCGTCCACCACGGATTCTTTTCACTGATTGGGTTGATGAACCAACCTCTGTCCTGGTATCTTGTTGGCTGAAATGTTCGTTTTAAGTTAAGTTTTAACAGCCAAATATCTTGTCCGTTATTACATCATACATTAATAGATCAAATGGTAAGTTTGTCAACATTTTGCAATGTTCTGTGTTCAATAGTGATCAATTCTTCCTATATTATGATTAGAGGGAAGCAAATAAATATAAGATATGGAAGTTTGCCGACTTAGAAGAAACCATTGATCGAATATGTTAATTTATCAATAATGTTATTAAAGTCCCAGTATGCCTCAAAAATGCTTTCATTTTTTTATCCCGAAACCTGTTCAATTTTTGTGTATTTTTTATAGTATCCAAAACGTTATTCAATAGCCAATTACTGGAATCATCTTTTTTATCTGTTGCTCTTTGGCAATTAGTTCACTTACAGTGAATGTGTATTTTGTATGGAAGTCAAAATCTACGTTGTTTACAATTTACTTTGATTACAAATTATTTTCACATTTATCGCTCCTTCTTTTAGATAGCAATCATCTTGCATATCTCTAAAACATTCATGTGGCTCATTTTGAACCCAAAGTGGTCAATCCAAATATTCTACTGTCTTTAGTTTAAAGAGGAAAATTCCAATAAGATATTGATATCAATAAACATCAAAGATTTAAATTACCATCAATATATATATGGAATTGTGTATAACACCACTGACATTCAATCTCCTACGCAGTGATCTCCCCTGATCAGTACAGAGCGATAAATCTGCAAAGGGAGGTAATCACTGTGAGGTGTTTGGAAAACATTTACGTCAAACTCACCTGGAATTTTGCGGGGACTTCAAGTTTTGGTGTTTTGACGCCAACTAGAACATCAATGCTAACCATGATTACTATAGAGAGGAGAACTGCAAAATCGCTGACCATTTGTCGGATCTAAAAGAATAAATAAGCCGCGTCATGACAAAAAAAACGTAATGCGTTTGCGACCAGCATGGATCCAGACCAGCGCAGTCTGATCAGGATCCATGCTGTTCGCTATCAGTTTCTCTATTTGTAATAGAGTTTGTAAGCGAACAGCATGGTTCCAGATCAGACTGCGCGGATGCGCAGGCTTGTCTGAATCCATGCTGGCCTCAAACGCATTATGTTGGTTTTGTCGTGACACGGATCAAATAAGGATATACACTTAAAATACCATTTTCTTACTTAACATCATTTTTTTTTTTTCTTCTATTTTTTTTTTTTTGCAAAATATTTTATTCCCTTACAGTTACTTAATTCAACACGAGTTGTTGCAAGACACCTCATCCGACTATTCTCAGTGTTTGGCAGTTAAAGAAGCGGCATAACTCTGTAAACAATTAACTCAAGAGTTATGTCCCTATTATGTTAGATAATCAAAAATGACAACTGTGTGAAGTTTCAACCCATTCCATTGTAGTTTTGGATATATCAACTTACACATGTCAAAGTGTGACGACGACGCTACCGACGCCTGGTTTAGCACAAGAGCTCTCCTTATTGCTACAGTGATTTTTTCTGATAATAATATCGAAATATTTATCACTGGTTGTACTGTATTGAATAAAGAGATTTATTTGTATTACATAAAGAAAAACTAATGTATATGTAAATTCGATCAACTGTTGTTGTTTGAATGAAGTTAAACATAAAGCATAAAGTACAATGAGGTATATCTTACAAAAGATGGAAAGTACGGTGCTGTTTTAAAGTCCTTGAAGTTCATTGCAAGGGCGTAGGTTCCGATGAAGAGTATACAAGAGAGGAAGAATACGTCTGGATAGTAATGTGACTCTTCACAACCTTCACCGTGAAGAGTTCCATTGTACATCAGACAGTCTTCTTTGTTCAGATCAGACCACGACATATTTCCGCTTGCATTGAACACGTTGTACATTACACCCATCGAATCATTGGCCACAATGTCTACGAACGGAGTTGTTGTGCCTTCAAACAGTGACGTCATCATTGTCATGTTCCCGTCTGTGCCATTGGTGGCGTTTGGTGCCATGCACATGCAATCAGTGGGAATGGGGATTTCTGGGTGAGGGTTGATTCCATAGTGGTCAATGATGTGGAACTGTTTCTTAAAAGCTTCATAGATAAATATAATGGCGATAAGGCAAGCGAAACTTTCTTCCGTAAAACGCGTTATGTACCGGACCAGAGCACTAAGGTCAAAGGCCACTACTAAAATCAGCAACCCAGTTGTCCATAAACCAATCCAGCACCGCAATGGCAAGAAATCGTAACCACCATCTCTACAATGGAAAGAAATATAGTGTTATAGAGCTTATTCATACAAGTCTAAACCCGGTCATCATAATCTTACTTGATTAGATGTACATTAGTATTATGAGCGTGTTCATTAATTTACCTCTAGACTTCGAACTTCAGTCTCCAAACATAAAAGCTTTCTTACATTCTCTCTCTAACATTTTGTACGATCGATGACGTCATAGCAATCAAAGAAAAAAAACTGAAAAAACTTGTATTTCAAATCATCATATTAAATCGCTCGGTCATAAAATACTGACGGGCGCATTTGTTTAAAGTGACTGGTTTCCATAAGCTATATATGTAAGCCACTCACTTGCAGAAGTTGTAAAGAATCATTTCCAACACCAACATAGGACCCGTACTACCGAGGATGTTCAGTGGTTGTCCGGCAAACAGAGCAAATAATATTCCTACGATAGCAGCCGACAAAATACATTCCATAGCCCCCTGTAATAAAGAAAACATACAGGTCTTAGCTGTGCTAAAAGGTTTCCGTACAACATAAAGAAGTTAAAGATCTTGGAAGTTAATATTTCCACATTTTTGTCAGTTATAATATTGGAACATAACATTTCTAAAGACATTTCATTTGTACGTATCCTTTATTTAATTATCATAAGAAACAAAACTGAGACCACGTACACTCCCGTGGCAAAATGTTAACACATTGATTGTTTGTTTAAAGAAATAAATTCAATTTACATTACATGAAGAAGTTAACATTAAATTACCTTTGTTTGGATTTATTTGATTTGCGTTTACAGATCCACGTACCATGGAAAGTTAACATACTATTACTTTAAATTATCAAAGAGCTATCGGCACGTACCATGTATTGATCTGTCGCTTGACCCAACAAACCGCCGAACGTGACGTTTGGCGTGAGAGTAGCTAAGAATAAGAAAATGGTTGAAGCTATGCACTGCACGTGAAGGGCATCTTTGAAATCGCTAGGATACCAAGGTACTTTTCGTTTAATATCGGCAATTAAACCTCCAAACAATCTGAAATATTCAATCATTACATGTTATGTTATAACAGAAACGTATGTCTATAAGAGGCCCTAATTAATTCAAGAATGAAAACATGGTAACTTTATAGAATGCCAAAAAACTGTAAAACTGGAAATGTCGCAGGCTTGATTTCATTAAGTCTGTTCATAATAGAAGTGGTATCTAGAAGCACTACCGTTCAAGCATCCAATTATCATATGAAAATTTGAAATTAAAATATTTAAACATCGTCGAATGTTCAACCACGCCTCATCTTTGGAATTTAAATGTCCTGCGTTGATATTCATAACCCATCAGTACATTTAGTTCAGGAGATTCCAATATCCAATCATTTCTTCATTCAGAAAGCATCCTCTTAATCATTTGGACGCTCTTTAAAGAAGCAGATACCCCAAAGATGGAAATTGCCGATTGTCATCATACTGCATGTTTCAAAAAGGTACGGGGGAAATATAAAGTGATTATCACGTCGTAAAAGTTGTTTAGAGCATTGTTAATCTATAACAGTTATAACAGCAACAAAAGCATCCAACAACAACATCAAAACGTACCTTCCGGTTCTAACTAGTGTCGGGTCGGCGTGTGACTCCTGCTCGGCTTCCTGTGTGGCAAGAACGTGCGGACCTGCTACCTGTGACTTCTGGGTCTTTCTTGATTGCTACATTATATGAAAAAGTCAACATTCATTAAAATTGTTTGTGCCTAATCTCACACTCAAATTAAAATTGGCAATCATTACAAAAAGAAACTGATTAATTATACAGCAATTCTTGCAGTTTAAATATACAGGTACACCCCTTTTTACCGTCCATCCCTTTTAAAGTTTCACCTCTGAATATTTTTGTAAAGGTTAATTGAAGTATACGTACTTGTGATGGCACTTTTTCTGGTGGTTCAATTCTGATTTTAGGGTCCCATTCTCCTGGGGGTAAAACTGTTACTTGGTCCAAAAATTCGTCTAGACCAGTCAATATCTCCTGACGATTTCTCGCCTTGTATGCAACTTCTCGGTAGATCTAAAATTCAAATGACGTCATTATTTATGTCTTCTGTATTTAAAAGATCATTTGAATTCAACTCTAATAGGCTTTGCTTTTTTGGAGGTTTTGCTTTGCACCTTTTGGCTAAATGCTTAAAAATAAATGCTTTAGGAAATTATAATAAATTATATAACATTTCAATACTCATTTCGCGAAATTACATGAAATTTAAATACTATGATCGCGAAATTATATGACATTTGTACATATATTCGCGACATGTCATGTGATTGTTATGTTTACTGCACAGTTTTACGTGTTATTTTTGTATACTTACTTCGTCTACCATAACAGTTGAAATAGATCTTCCAATTTCTATACATTTATCTTCACTTCCCTCGGGTCCTAGAAGTATGAACACAAAACGGGTCGGTATAGGAACCTCTGTAATGTCGCCGATGTTTCGGGCCTCGGACAGACGGATGAACGCCGCTATTTGATATTTTAGACACGGCAATTCTCCTACCAGTACGTTACATGCTTGGGAATCTGGTGGTACTTTTCTCATAAAATCTACATTCAACTGAAATAACAAAGAGTGCTCTTAAGATTGTTTTATGTCATATTAAATCGACGCCAAATTTACATTGAAATATTTAAAATCTATTTAGATTAATTTAGATTAAGAATTATGAACCAATTTCATCTAACATTTTGTTTTTGTTTTGTTTTTAAAATCGTGGCTAGGTCTCCGTGACAAGGAATTTCTGTTAAGTATAATAAATAGTGTTAATTTGTTTTGATCTAAAAACGATAACGTATATTATCTAAATTTTACCAATGCAAAACATCCGAATTGCAATTAAATGTTATACAAAAAATAAATTATTGCAAAATATACAATTGCCACATCAAAGTAATACAAAAATAATATTCAAAATATCAAGATGTCCTGTAAAGCTTAACGTATTAAGGATTAATGACCCTAATGAGCGTGTTATTAAAGTCGCCATATTGGTATATTCATAAAAAATGACGTGAAAGCGGAAAACACTTTTTCACCTGATGAAAAAGTGCTAAAAATAAACATACGGAAACAGTCGAACTGCTTCATGTTCCCCGGCATAAGTCCATTAGTATTTACCGTCTCATTAGGGTTCTTAATCCTTTAACAACACTAAAACTACATATACATGTTATATAAATCTGATTACAAGAAGACATACATGTATATTAAAAATATTTCTATTAAAACGGGAAAACAGGTGCTCGTTCGATGAAAAGAACTTCCGGAAGATTTTTCATAAGGAGGCAGAAATAGCTAATTAGGATAAAATAGTTATAGCCAATTCCAGACTTAAATCTTACAGCAATGGGAGTATTAAATTCTCAGTTTCATCAGAAACTTAAAAAGCTTTTCCTATACCAAGAAAAGCAATAGGCTTAACTAGTCCTTAAAAATAGCTTAACTAGTACTAAATAAAACCCAAATCAACTCAAGTCACATGGTTTAGTAAAAAAATGTTTAACAACATAAAAACAAAAATGATGACAAACTTAAGTTGTACTGAAGAGAAGGAGTAGGCGACAAGTTTCTTGTTATTCTTGTCAATTGCATGCATGAACTCTTTCATGAATTAATATCCCTGTGAAGAAACAACATATGTTTTACAAAACGCTTTCTTATTTTTAGTTGTTTCACATGCAATAATGTCAAGAGCATTCAAACTGACAAAGCGTTCGACTTTTTTGCAGCGTTTTATAGCAACAGAAGGACCATACGCTACCTTCTAAATTATTCGATGAAAGCCTATGCTAGAGTTATGGTTCTTGGTCAATAAACATTTGTTTAGATTCAAGTATATAGTGGTTCTAGGGGAAAAGAACCTGCAAACGAATCTTAACCTGGACTTTTTCAAGTTAACGCAGGGAGGATATTCAGTCAATTCCGATGCTGAAGTTATGGGTCTTAGATATTGACCAACAAATATAGCAATAAATAAAAAGAATAAGTGCTATTTCAAGTATACAACGGAAGTCGTTAATGGGAAATGAGTTGTACGCAAAACTTCAAGAGTTACGAATTGCCAGCGTCTTAGAACAGACGAGTAAAACATTGCTAATTGTCATGCTTACATAAAATACAATGTATGCTAAATCTTTGTAAACGGTACAAATTGCGATAGGAATAGATTCTATATTTATATATAGCCTAATTATAAACTTATCTAAATCTCCTTATTTTTCGTAATGAAAACATGCATTATTGACCGATGGTACCATTAAAATACTTTTCTTTTTCAGCCAAGAGCATAGGTCTTTATTATATATAACGTTAGAAAACAAACGGACAATAGAGTTTATAAGTACATCCTAAATGTTAAAACACCCTTTACAATATTTGACTGGTTGTCATCTACATTTTAAATAGTACAAGATTTACAAAACACGAGTCCCTTTCCAGTTGACATTCAGTTCTTGTTAATATAACGATAAAACATCAGAAATTCTACTTAACATACATTCTACTACAAACTGACAAGAACCCATAAACCCGTATCACATTCATTGCCTTTTGATAACCAGAATAAGTTTTTCCAAAGGACCTTTTTAACACAGTATATGTAATTTAAAGGGATCAGCTCTATAAATTATGATAAGATAGCCAAACCAAATATATTCACAGTTATTTCCCTTTTACAAAAACATCAATTTATGTCCATTTGTTTTAATTATTTACTTCCCTTTGATAAATGAACCCCGTTTAAAAGCAAATTTTAGCTCCGAGCTACGAATAAATGTAGCTTTTAGAAAAAAAGTATATGAGTACCAAGTCTTAACTGAAATTAGATTAATAAAATCCACGATTTTCTAATCAACGGCAAACATCAAAGCAGAGAGTATTCTATATATAGATCTACAAAACTCACTGTCCATCACCGAGCAACATTCGATGGCTTCTCAACTACTTAACTTACCTTCGCGGACGAATACGTCTCTTTTATATCTCCGTTAATATTATCCACGTTTGAAAAACTCCTGTTAGGTGTAAGCTTAGAACCTAAAAGTTTCATATAAATGTTTGTATTAGTTTGGTTAAGATACGACAAATATATATTAAGCAAGTGACGTCACTCACCTTTGCCGAGGACAAACTTTCGCGTAAGTCCCCATTTATCTGTTCAGGGTTTGAAAAACTTTTACTCGACGCCAGTCTATTTCCTACAATACAATGGTCACTTATATAACCCAAAGAAATTTAAAAGAAATGACAGATAAGACAAAAATGAAGTAAAGTTCATATTCAACATCTTTAAAAATTATGACGTCACCATGTGCAACGTCTAAATTACATGTTAATAACATAATAATTACGAGTTTGATTGCGTTCTATTTTAAACAATAGTTTAGTTGTACAGTCTGTCATGCTAAGAAGTAAATAACTTTGATACAATATATGTGGAAAAAAACAAAGATGATTTGGGACGAACACCTTTAAATATACATTATCTTTGTCAATGTACATTTACATGTATTTAAGGTGTAAAAATCGCTTTTTTGTGGTGTTTTTTTCCTCAAAACACCAATGACAACCGTCTTTTTACTATCTTATAATGTTTTCGGTAGCCATCTTGGCGCTACTATTCCATAACTCTACACGGAAAAGATACTTGAATAATACTCGGATAGATACAATCTTTTATCCAAATAAAAATGATATCAAAACTTAAATAGACAAGGCTGAAATAAATCAAACAATAAGCTTGGACATCAATACTTCTATTTTAGGATAATGTCTACTTATAATCGTGACACTGGTAAAGTGATCATTTATTATTATACCACAAGCATTTTTCAAGTGACCAGGTTTGACATTGGCTTAAATTTGAAACGTTCATTTTTCCATAACATTTTTTTTCATACAAAAATAACCTGAAGGTGCAATAAATTATACCGATGCTATATAAATTTTATATGGACTTGACCTGTCAACCGGGTCATAATCGCATTAATTAATTAATTTCATCTATTTGCACAAATTACTATCATAGCCTTTATCTCTAATGGCTTCATAAAAACATTTTAGCGTATGAAACATCTTAAGACATATTGTCAAGGTGACGATATAGTATCCTAAATACAAAATTTCCAATAGTACTCTTTTCAAACAATTTTACCCGAAAGTCATTTCCCCTATCATTACTGTTCGACGAGTTTCAGAAATTTTATGTTAAAGGGACTCCGTTTATTTTTGTAACATGATGGAGCTAAACATATAGTTTACCAGAATAATATAACTTTTGATTGAGGTCTGGACTTATAAATCGTATGCAAAGGTTCAGATCATTTGCTCTTTCTCTTAGAATATTTTTTGTGAAAAATTATCAAAAATTGAAAAACGTTTAAAACTTTTTACTCAAATCAGGCTAAATATCACATAAAAGTGTATCTTTTTAATTTTTTTTTTTTGCATATTGATTGATTTAAAGTGCACCGGTTGATCTACGTATAAATTCTGAACTATAATATATCATGTGTTTGGACCTGAGTGGCGTTCCTTTAAAGTCACACGCATTACCTTTTGAAAAGTTCTTTTTTAATGCTCTATCACTCTCACTTCCTGGCATGAGACTTCTTTTACGTTTTTCGTGAGCGAATACATGTGGTGACATGAGAACCTTCCGAACATCGTCCCGATTTTCCTCCGACATAGTCTTTGCTGCTATTAAAGTATCTAATACTATATCTGAAAGCAGGGTACAAAATGAAAACGTATGTAAATATTTTGTAAGATTTACAACATGTTGTGCATGTATAACGTTAACAATGGACTTCTAAGAATTGCCCTACAGACAGACACATTGTCAAGATCTTAATGATTTTGAATCTGGCAAAATTGAACGTCATGCAAGTGTATCTTGGACAAGAAAGCTATACTAGTATACTGTGTTATATAGTACAATGTAACAGAGCAGGTTTCATATGTAACCAGAAAATAATTTGAAAGCTTCTTCAGAACGTTCAATTACACAGTTGATGCTTTCATTATGAAAAAATCAGAAAGCAGGCGAGGAGCAATCTTGGCACGCAATCTCTGATTATTCTAAATCGTTTTTGTAACAGCTCCTCTCCTTGGGAGCCAAAGTCAAATATCTCAATATAGTTTTAAACATACAAAATTTAAGCAAAGCCGTTAACGTAACTGATAAATACAAGACTTTTAAAATCGACGTCATTGGCGACACATTAGCAAAAGCTACTGAATTTCAAATTTACTATTACCAAATAATTATATTACCTATAATTTGCGTTATATGATATGCGTCTAAATCTAAAATAACTGCGCCGTTAAGAATGGTAGATCGGAGTTCGAACAATGAGTGAAGTGAAAGCGAGGCTACATGAGGCTTTGACCATCTTTCTCCTCCCTCCTCCACGTCTTCCTCGTACTTTACCCATCTATAAATAGAAATTAAATAATTATTTTCTATACATTAAAATATATTATCATAACATGTTAATAAACGCATTATAAAAAAAATTATAGCCATTTATAAAATAAAGAGATATAAAAAGCAGACATATCCATTTATACCAATTTATAAACGAAACAAACTGATAGATGGAGACAAGATATATTTAAATAATTATTATCTATAAATAGAAACAAGGATTTTAACCTCATATTCGTATATAAAAACGAACCTATCGAAACATCTGTATATTTACAGTATGGTTATTTCGAAAAGTTTATTAAACTGTTTAAGTTTTGACAGGACGTAAATTAAAAGTGCATATTTTTTGTTTAGAACATTAGACACAAGGATACACAAAAAAAATAAAAAATGCCACAAATGCGCAAACCCAATTCCGGGAATTACCTGGCAAATTCTCGCCATTGCTTCTCTTGGCCAAATGTGTATAAAAGATCTAACTGACAAAAAGTGCCGTGGGGTTGATGTTGCTCGTCGTCGACTTCGCCCAATAATGTTTGTACTGTCTCCGTCGGTGACTGGATGGCTGAAATTTAAAAGAAAACAATAGTTGATATGAGCCGTGTTACGACAAAACCAACATAGTGGGTTTGCGACCAGCATGGATCCAGACCAGCCTGCGCATCCGCGCAGTCTGCTCAGGATCCATGCTGTTCGCTATCAGTTTCTCTAATTGTAATAGGGTTGATTATCGAACAGCATGGATCCTGATCAGACTGCGCGGATGCGCAGGCTGGTCTGGATCCATGCTGGTCGCAAACCCACTATGTTGGTTTTGTCGTGACACGGCTCATATGTTGAACCAAATGAAACTATAATAGGTTTTAAATACTAGTATAGAGTATTGAACTTAAAAGTAAAATGAAAAAAATACCAATCTGTCAATCTTTATAAACTACAACAAGCTGCAAGCGACATTAATAAGTTTTATTTTATGAGACATGAAAATAAAACAAATTGCAATGAAAGTTAAGCAGAAAATGTCCCAACAAAATTATCGGAAGTACGTGTGTTTTGACACTTTGTTTTCCCGGACATACGTGTATCTTGCAATATTATAATTCGGAAATACGTGTTTTAGCAGTAAAATAAGTATATCGATCCAGGAAATACGTGTTATTAACTTAACATTTCACTGGATGCTATTTTCACTTTAATTTATTGTAACTTTTTAGCTTTAGCTTTATTCTCTATTTAATTAGAATTATTAACAACAAAACGCATGACACAATGTATGTAGGGTCGTAAATTATTAAACTAGTTTGACATTTAACATTTTTTTCTGTAAAGGTTTGTAACCTGGCTTTGACCTAAGTACTTTTATGCTTTAACCACATGCTCAGCCTACCGCTTCAAAGCTGATAAGATTAATATTTATTTAATTACACCCTATTTGTCTGGTTATTTTGCTTCACCTGCAGTTATAATCAGATCCATTTTATTATATATATCTTTTTTTTATATTTCGGTTCAAACATATCTCCACCATCACATATAATCGTTTGTGCGTAATAAATGAAATATATAAATGATTTACAATACCCATCCCACCCTATACACGTATATATAGCAATTCTGAGCAAGAACAATTAACAACAACAAACGTAAAAGAAAATTACGGTAACATGTTTAGTTATTTTTTTTTTTAAAAAGTGTCTCGATTGACATTGGTAAAATATTCACGTGTTGTAAACTGAAAAAGAATTGTATTACGATGCATGTGCTATGAATGCTCGGGTCTATACCACGTGTTATTATTAAATAATTTTAAAATATACACGTCTTATAAATAGACTGGGTTTAAGATGCACTGGCAATGGTAAATAACTAAACATGAAATATATTTAAAGGCACAGTATGTCCCAGAGATCATTATTTTTTCAATCTTTTAGAAAAGTCAGACAAGTGTTTCATAATGTTTTAGTCGAACAACTGAAGGCAGTAGCGCTGAACATGCAGTAATGTGTCTTAAAGGTAGCAAAATGTGAACAAAGTTTTATTTTGATCTCCATACAAATATACCAATAATTATTATTATCAAAGAGCAAAAGAAACAAAAGATAATTCGTCCATATGGCCAATGAGTTACTTTTTCGAAACCATAAGATAATACCAAAATAAAAAGGATCCGAGAAATAAAAAATAGTAGTTTTAAAGTGGCCCCTAATGGACCTTTCAAACAGCCCGCCTCCAGATTAATGCTTATTTTCATGAAAATTTTGAAAATTAAAAGTATATTATTGTATATTTACCAAAAGGAATCATTTTACACATTATCAATGGCACTTACAACCCATGTTTATAACAAAAAGAGGTCAAAATATGCAAAAAAATGCCCTTACTGCGTTAGTAACACAGTAAAAATATAGTTAAACGTAATGAAAAATTCACCATTAATCGCTCATAACTTGTAAATTATTTCTTGAATATTGAATCTTTTTCTTTTGCCTAAAATCTTAGTACATTTTTCAGAAGTTTGATTTATTTAAATATTTTCACTCATCTGGAGGCATGCTGCTTTAAATAAAATAAAATAATCTAGGTTAGCAGAAGATTCCCATGCAATTCGGGGACAAAGTCTAGTTATAGTCATCTGTTGGGAGTGTAATATTGTTTAATTTAAAGTATATATAGAACAACAACAACAACAACAACAAAAAGATGCATTTGTTCATTGTAATATTAACCTACAGCCGTGGGCTAAAAATTTAATGTTTTTTTTTATATGAACCAGTCTTCGTTTGTTCATGGTGTTTTAAACGCTTGTCTGCACACTTCTGAACGCTTGCTTTCATGGACGTGCCCGCTGACGTTATTTAACGTCAATTATATGTATGCATCATGTAAAAAAAACTGTGTCATGATATACAAACGAGTGATTGCATGTAAAATGACTTAACAACATCTTTTGAAGAAAATAGAATGTAATAAAAATCGACTCCACCTACTCGTTTGTATGACTTTGAACTAGAACAAGGTCAAATTCAGCTTTGAAACTTGAAAACAAAGTCATGGTGCAATGCCTTAAAAATCTTTAACATTATATTTAAGCATGATAAATTATCAACACTGGTTAAAAATAAATACATGTGCTCGTTTTGTTGGGTTTTTTTCAGTATTTTTGAAATGGGTATTAAATTACTTAAAATCAAGGATTTCTCTACAGCTTCCTGTACGGGACTTAAGAAATCTTTCCGCATCTCATATTCAGAAGTGATTAGAGTGTAGTTTGACTATTTGCATAAACTTTGAATAAAAGTTACATCCTGTGTATTGTAACATTTGATATATTCATCGTCAAAATTTTACTTTAAATATAACACGGTAACACCGTCTCCTCATTTCCGGTAAGTAAATGTCATCTAATCCCAATTAATGATACTAAATATGACACCTGAATTAATTTATACAAGTAGACATACATAAAAACCTATATCCATAATTTTAGCATAATATTTAGACATATTTCCTTTCATGTAAATTATCACTGACATGGCAGATGATAGCAGACGACAAAATGTTTTTCTTCACAGCATAAGCGGGCGGAACTTCTGATGAAAGCCACATGTGCACACAAGAAAAAGTAATACGCAAATTAATTCACCGAAGCTGCAATTACATCTACATAAATGTTTATCACATTAAAAATTTAAAAAATCATGTACAAAATGGCCGCCGTTAGGAAAATGACAAGACAATGCCCTTTTATTCGCACAGTACATGACCAGGCAGTTTTACATCATTCGGCAAAAAAAGTTGAATGATTTGTTTTTTTATGGTAGCAAATGTTTAAAACATTCGAAAGCTCATTGATAGTTTATTGAATGAGACTTTGAACACTTATGCTTGTTGATGTTTTTGTTGTTGTTGTTGTTGTATTTTTGTAATGTCTACATTACACTACAATACATCTGATCGTGTCTGTTATTAATTTCATAGTATTTTGTACCTGACATCTTAACTTTCTATGACAGGACTAAGTTATCTTACATAAAATTCAAAAACGTATATAGCACTGTACCCTGGTCCGACAATTAGACATCTTCATTGCCGCGTGCTAGTGCACAACGGAAGCTCGGTACGGCCATTTAGTTTATAAATATGCGCATAAATCAGGTGCGTGCGTGAAATTACGCAGATAAATGTGTAATAGATACAACTAGATATTTGACTTTTAAAAAAAGTGATAAATATTATTTTGATTTTAAATAAATAAATTAAAAAAACCATGTCAGCATAGACTCAATACAAAAGGGAACAACTGATCTTATATTATATGCATTGCATTTATTTAAAAAAAATAGACAGCAGTCAAAACTATTGTCTGTCTGTAGTCTCTTTCATAATGTTGAAAATGCAACTCGTTAAAAAATGTCCTTCACAATCGTGAAAAAAATCAAGTTTTGGCATCGATATCAAATGTTCTAAAAATAGATCGAGATCGAGTGATAACCTGACGTGTAAAACGGCTTTGAGTGTATACCAGAGTTTTAGCCGAGTGAAATTTATGGGTACTGTAAATAATGGGGATTGAAGTAGACCCTGTGATGATAAATAAAGCCAGAAATATCTTTAATTACGATCGACATAAATTATTTTACGTCTGACATATTAGGTATTTCAACTTTCTTTCAGTTGTCCTTTTATTTGAATTGTTATATTAAAATTACCTGACATATTCATGACTTTGGAATATTAATTACCAAGCATTTTATGCAAGACAGGGTTAACAACACAGACATATTTGAAGTAAAGGAACAAAATGTTTATTATAGTATTGTTTGCAGTTTTTTTTTTAAATTTGTGAAGGTGTGTTGAAGGCAACCCAAAAACGTCTCAGAAGTCTCGAAAATATTTCTCATGCTTGATTGATACACTTTTACACAGTTCTATGAAATAACACCGGACAGAAAAACACGTGTTCTTATAAAGGCACATGCAACACCGGCATCGACAGATTACACGTGACAGATTTCCAAAGCTATCTCGTGGTCGTATCCTGAGTGTAAATATCAGCTATTGTTATATTTGATTTATTCAATTAAGACAAATAAGCATATGATGATACCTTATAAAATTGGTTTTCTTATATATTCTGTTAACTTCTAAAAAACTGTATTATACTAAATAATGTCTTATAAATGTCACGATAAGATTTTTCTTAGATAGCTCTGGGATTCTGCTAAGACGAACCAGTCTATCTCGTCATTTTACATACACATGTAGTTCTTGTCCAGATACAATATCTGTCTCCTCATATGTATCGTAGCCCATTCACCCTTTCATATACAATGAATACGGACCAATGTGTATACACATTCATATGTGCTTATCACATAAGCAGGGATGGTCTCTAGCAAAAAGGGAGGTAATTCAAAAGACAACGTGTTCGTATGCTTTTTTGTTTGTTTGTTTGTTTGTTTGTTTGTTTGTTTGAGTGTTTGTATTTTCGTGGGATATGATGATAAAAAATATTTTATAAGTGTCAATCCCTTGAACATGACATCGCAAAGTTCAAATATAATCTGTTAAAAATAGTGGTCGACTTTTTAAATTCTAGTTTGAATTACCTCCCTTTTTAAATTTATTGTTCTCTCGTTTACATTCGTATACAATAATTAAACTGTTCATAAATTTTAACTGAGTTACCTTCAATATAGTCTGAAATTAGAATTGAAAACAGAATTGTTTTAGTATAAAGTATTAAGCATGTAAACCTTTTCATAGATGTCGAAAACAGTACGGGCATATTTCACCATTTTCTCCGTACAACTATTTTTGAAACAGCAGTCTGAGAGAAGGTCCAGTCCTTTAGAAAGACGCCATGTTTTAAACATGGAAGGACTTAAAGCCAATGAGTATACTTGACAAATATACTGATATTAGAATCACTATGAAAAGGTTTGACAGTTATTTATACTCTAGTTATATTGGAAAAACATGTGTTAAACGATATAAATTCGTAAAAAGTGAAGCTAAAAAGGTGCTCGAGAAAGGTGTAATAAATGCTATGTCTGCAAGTGATTAGTTTAAACTTCACATCAGTAAAGCCAAAATAAACCAGCTGGATAGCTTATTCTTATCAAAGAAAACAATGCCACTGGCGGGATTCGAACCATTAGGACGACATGTCGTAAAATCAGCAGAAGTATAATAATTGAAGTAAAATTGGTATGAACAAATTTTGATGTGAAGTTTTGATATTAGATTTCATGATGTATCTCATATGTAACACGGGTGCAAAGTTGAATTAAACTATGTTAAAGATTGACTATAAAGCGTTAAGCATGACATTTGAAAGTTATGAAATGTGCAAGGATAAATATTAAGACGAAGGTTGAAATTCCGATGTGAATCATATTGTGTGGTATATTATTTATGAGGGGTATATCATTAGAGTTTTGTTTTTTCCAAGAGCATATATATGGCCCAAAACTTTACCTTCAGTGAACGCTGTGTATATACAATTATATGTTATAACATTATGTCATCTGTTATTATGATAAAATCTAACTTACAAGATAATACTAGATATTAAGATGTCAATTATAGTTATATATAATAAACAGGTGAGGGCAGAAGTTTCCCCCTTGCCTATTCCGAGACAAAACTTGTAAAGTCTCCTTTACGAAATACTGATAAGCAAAGTCGCAGTATTAAGAATGCTAATTAATCATTATCCTTTTACAATTACTCAATGATTGATTGCCTTAAACATTGAATTATATGTAATAGAAAGAGCATCGAAACACGAGTTTATTATCTGATTTGTGTCTGGGGGGCGTACTATGATACAATTCATAACTGTACGAATTCATTAATTAGTTGTAACTTTTTATGTTTTCTTGGAGGTGGTCTTGTATATAAAGGTAATGTAGCTTTACCTGTCGGGCTGCTGAAGTCAGTGGGTGCGGAATCGCCTGATTTGTCCTTTCGGCGCCTACTCTTCCTTGGGCGTTTAGGTCTCTTTGGGAGTCGGACCCCTATTACCATGCGATGTTTATTTGCTGAAAATTATATGTAAATATGATTAATAAAATTAAATATAATCATCATTAATAAACATTCGTACTATTTTTCTTCTTTTTTTTTGTTGTTACACAGTTGTAGGTAACAACTTTCAAATATGTATCATATACAAAAGGTAAACTTGAAAATTTACGCATCAAGTTTAAATATAGTTTTTAAATGATGTTAAACCTTAACATTGATTTTGAATATTTTATTTATTAGCATGCTTATATGAACGTTGTTTTTTGTTAGACAATAGATATAAAGGTACACTAAACTACCAGTGCATTAAATTTATTATGATATGAAAAAGTACAGACGATGTCTGTATAGTTTTTGTGTAAGAATCTTATAAAGATTAAGTACATTTTTGTAGAGTTAAACATAAAGGGGTTTACTTATCATTTCGTTTGTGAACGTAAAACCATGCCTTTAATAAACAAATGTAATTGTCATTAATTTATAGTGCACGCTTCTATTTATAGTAACGTTTTACTATTTATAGCAATGTGTTACTATTTATAGAAACCTGTCACTTTTGTTAGTAACACGTGTTTTATTGTAGAGTAAATTACCTGTATCTTCAAGATCATTGTTACTTAGATCTTTCGTTATTCCACGGTCTTTTATGCCCTCCTCCATCAGTTTTTGTTGTTCTTCAGACATGATGATGTCACTGCGCTCGTGCCAGTTTATCGTCTGCTATCTGTAGATCAAGATGTTAAAAAATGGCACAATGTCAACACATTTGACCTGAAATATACAATATAATATTGAATTAAAATTTTAAAGTCATATGTAATTAAAATTCTGAAAATACAAGAATGCAATCAGTACCATCCAGAACAGATTGTATGATACCTGCCGCAGATTGTTCTTAACGGACTTTACCAGTATTTCGTAAAATACCGAGAAGTTGCGGACAGATCTTAAAGCTACTGTTTTGAGGTAATTTTAGCTCATCCATTAAATAAACCCAAAGAAAAATGAGATCTTTAGGTGAAACACGTATGTCATAATCAACAGCAAATTTAATGACAACATTTTTCTTTTCGTTTTATTTTATTTTTATGAAGTTTACGGTCAATTAATCTAATGCGTCAATGTAAAGAAACAATTTTCAGCATGTTGAACATTCGTTGTTGTTAATTCCCAACTAATGCAAACATCTTAATGGTGTTCCATGATACATCAAATATTTAATGAGAAAATTTTATAAGATTAAATGCTTTTAACTCTGAAGGTTATTAACTCTCAGGTTTTTTAGTTTTGTTATTTTCCTCTTTTTCCTTACGTGTATAACTTGAGATCGAATCTTTGCAATTTGGATTGAGTGTACCAATAAATTTTAATTAAAGCTTTAATTGAAATGCTTAGAATTCTGGTTATACAATATTGTTTTAGCTTAATGATGGCATATGGCTATTCAAGACACAAGTGGGTACCTTTGTTGAACAACGGCATTCCTTACGTTAAGGCAGGTGGGTAGGTGTGAACGAGCTTGTCTTTCTGGCGGTGATTACCCCCACCAAGAAAATTTTACACCATCTATGATATGCACAGGACATCTTAATACTTTACTATAGCATTTGTCAAATATAAAACTATTCCTAAAATGTCACAGATTTTTTTTTTCAAGTTTAATTGTCGGTTTCTATTTTATGAAAGTTTATTTTGGTACGCTCGAGAGTTGACATTTCCTCGTATAACAATTGCAATGTTAATGAGTAGAGACAGATAAGGTCTGTCATTTTATTAAAACGCTTGAGGCGACAATGAATTGCCCTAAAACTGTGCAACCAGTATAAAGCCGGGCCAGTGAGTCGTTACTTTACTCGCACATGCGCAATCTGCTTGCTATTGCCATACACAGAAATATGTTGATGTTCAATGATTATTCCACTTTAGTTCTTTGCGTAAAGGTCTATTGGTCCCTTTTTGATGTGTTTGAAGCCAAATTGATAAAGCAAAGGTCATATGGCAACTTCAACGATTTAAATGGAAGAGGAAGACCTTAGATATACTTCCTTTGTAATGTTGTACGTTTTAGTGAAGTAAAATATATATAGTTTAAACTCTTTTATATACCCAAAACCATTCAGAGTTTACACCAGGCAGTGGGGTTTTAACCTAATTGGGATGAAACGTTAGGCTTTTGATTTTAGGGAAAAATATCGCAAAAAATTTCTAGTTTCGGAAGTACAAAAGCTAGAGTTAGGTCAGATTTTTAGGAAAACTCCATGATTTTAAAGACAATTCCGATTGGTAAGAGGTCTTTTAAACGTATAGGCCTCTGTTATAAAAGGTGAAAAATCATCAAGAATGACAAATTAGATACTATTACATATACAATAATAATGTATATTGATACACTAGTAGAACATACTTTATGTAAATACATGTATATGATACCCCATAATCTAGTATCTATTCATAAGGCTCGTTACTTGACTCGCACCGGAAGTGTATTTTATCTAGTTAATTATTCATTCATAACTGTAGGATGCAGACGAGACATAATATGTTCTTAAGTACTTTATTTAGGTTACCACGCAACCAACGAATGGAGGAATTAGAGTGAAAAAGAATAAATTTATTACCGTGAATTTTTATAATCTTTCATAGTAGATGAAGATGATTTACGCCTTAAATAACAAATCTTGCCTATGTTTTATGGTAAGCATTTTTTTCCCTGTTGCTCCCGGCCAAAAATACTCAATATGGGAATGAATAAGTTGTATGCTTTTCGTGGACTTTTTACCTAAATGAAATGTTCTGTAGTAAATAAACATAATTATGAGGTGCGTAGAAATCGAAGCTATTTCCAAACATGATTTAGCAACTGGGGACGCCTTATTGTACGAATTCTGATGTTAAGCAAGACTATCACTAAACATAAGGAAACATTCTTATTTTTTTTCTATTAAATACAATACTGATGAAGATAACGACGTATACGCGTTAAAAAAGGATATAGATGTGGGTACATCCATATGAACACATTTCTAGCTTATGTTTAAAGAATCTAAACTTCATTGTGTTATTTTAAAACAAAATTCGGCATTTTACGGTATAAAGTCGTCTGTTATATTTGAACGTGATAATAAAAAAAGTTTTATCTTAAAGGATAGAAAAAATGAGCCGCGTCATGACAAAACCAACATAATGGGTTTGCGACCAGCATGGATCCAGACCAGCCTGCGCATCCGCACAGTCTGATCAGGATCCATGCTGCTCGCTTACAGACCCTATAACAAGTAAGAAAACTGATAGCGAACAGCATGGATCCTGATCAGATTGCGCGGATGCGCAGGCTGGTCTGAATCCATGCTGGTCGCAAACCCATTATGTTGGTTTTGTCGTGACACGGCTCAAATTTAATGATTCATTTGCCATAGGGTTTGTTTAGTCACAAAGGCAGATTAAGTCATTCGACGGTTTTTCGGCTTTCATTAGGATAACTTAAGATGCCCCATAGTACAGTTATCAGGACACACGCAGTTAGCTAGTCCAATAACCTTCCAATTAAAAACCAGTTTCATCTACAGCAAAAATGATTACTATTTCAAGAGTCGAACATTTAACCATAATATACCCTTTGATCATCGATATATTATACCACGGATTTATATTACATAAATCCGTGATTATACGGAAAGTGGCGGAAAATTCCGAATTTTAACGAGTTCAAGGTGGATGTTATAATTGACCTGTATATTCTAGTGTATACTTTTATCGTGTCCTGCGGTTATTTATTAATTGTTTCTGTTTATACGTAATTATTTATTTCTTTCACGCAACAAGGTGAAAAAATGTCATAAAGTATAACCACGCATTGCTTGACGCATGATCTGTCGTTTCGCCCTTACTAGGAAAAGTGTTTATTTTTAAAGATAGACCATAAATAGGAAAGTATTTAAAGCGAAACAAAACTGAACGACGTTAACCATAAAATTGTTTTAACTGACTTTGCAATATGAAACATAAAGGATGTAAGTATGTTACCCGAACCTAATTAGAATTGATTAATCGGTTAATTTTACCTGTTCTCAAGACCTTTATTACGACATAGCTTGGATATAAAATAAAACATTATTTGAATGTAAATTATAAAACTACAATTACATATTTTAGCAATAATTTAGCAGCAATGCCGTCATCGGCCATGTTTTGTACCATCTCGTTCATTTTGGGCGGAAAGACCCGAACATTGAACTTTTGACATCGTCGCAGAGTAACCCCCCTTTGATATTCAAAAATTCAATTTGGCGGAAACTGCTATTTGATCAGGTTGAAAGACACTTAATAACCTTGGTTTACCGCAAAGACAATATCATACAATAAATCAATCATATTTATATATAATAAAAATAGTTGACATCTTTATTTCAAGACGATGAATTACGGAGTTAGGTTCGGAGGACGTTTTAAGAAAATGACAGTTGTACTTCAAATGAAAGCTACGCACTCATTTATTATCACTTAAGATTAAACATAATTTTAAATTCAATAAAAAAATACCTGCGTGCGGAATTTCATCACCACCTTACTAGTACAATATAACAAAGACAACACATTAATTATTCTAGTTTGAATATGCATAAAATCTGTTATAATGCTTAATAAGTGACAGAGAATCGGCTAAAAAGCTGCAGCTCCGGCGGAAATAAACTTACAATCAGAATGTAGTTAACCGAACAAATATTACGGTGAACATAAGTTTATTTTGCGTTCGGATCCACTATCACTGTGTCAATGCATGGAACATTTTAGGGTAATTTGAGGGTAATGTGTTCACCATGAAGAATAAGCACGTGCGAACTCGTGCTACAAATAATGCACATAGGAGTAAGACTGTCAGAATGGAACTTAGAAGTTAAACCTGATAATTTCAAGCAGAAATAATTTTACATTACTGATCAGAGGCCCGCTTTTCTAACATTCCGGAATCTTTTCTTAAGTATTATCGTAACTTACCGCTTTTCAGGGGAAGTAATCGATGTGAACACTCCTTAACAGGAGGTCATTGGGTATTCTAAACCTTATCACATGCCTCATTGCTGATCAATTTAAAGGGTATATATTAAACTAGGTTAAATTTGGTGATTGTTTAGTTCACTTTTAAGGTTAAGGGATGGTCTTTTAGTAACGTTAAGTGCTCGTAAACTACTCAAGTTGAGAAACTGTCAACCCGTATATGGCAAAAGTACACACTGGCAATAATAGATCAGAGACAAAAAGAGAACTTGCAGACAGCCCCGTAACAAAAGTAAAAGGTATTTTCAAAGATATATGATATTTATATCTCCGTGGTATTTGACCAGATTTATGGCCATTATTGCTCGTGTCAAATCATGAAAGGATTATATTGATTCCTTTAAGAATAACATCTGTAGAGGATTTCTACCATATAGCACATTTTTTAGAGATACAGTCAAACCTGTCTTAAAGACAACCACTGAATAAAGATCACACTGTAAATAAAGGCCACTCGGTTTTCCCGTTCATAGAGTTGTCTATTTATACTTTCGATTAAAGATTAACATATATTCTTGAACTAAGTACGGCTCATATTCGGGGGTAGGTAATATAATATAATATGTAACCCCTGTACACATACCCTCCATTGTCCTACCGACAACCAAGTTGAAAAAGTTGAATGCTGGGAGCATTATTCTATAAACAACGAGAAAATCAGTAAATCACTAATATAAATTCGGTATAATATGTCCAGGGTTCGAGCCCTAGATAGATTTTTGGTATACAAAGCGGACACTTATCTCCT